TTTTTGTTATTTATTTGCAACCTTGAGGATTATTTTCTGTTATTCTTTCTATGCTTTTCTCTTCATGATCAAAAGCCGTTTCCGGATGAGATTATAATAAATCTCTACTTTTTTGTTTGATATCAACAGAATGAGAATAATTGAATTAGGGAATGTCAGGAGCTTAATTTGTTGATTTTTTGGGATATTCTCAAAAATATCAAGTGCTTCCATTAAAAAATTTATGCGGTTGAATCCTTTCACATCAATTCCATCCCTTACATAAACAAACAGAATTTCTGCTTAGAACAGCTATGTGGCAATAAAATATCCCAAAAATTTCATACATCCAAACCATTCTTTCCCATATTTCAACGTCATGTTAATAACCTATCACAATTTATCACATTCTTCATATTTCATATCCATAACCCAAAAAAAACGCAATGTAAAGCAATACATTCGATTGAACAAGACAAAATATTTATGGAATTTGGTTATACAAAATATATTTTTTATATCCTCGCAAAAATATTCCATGAATTTTCATCCAAACACCTTATCCTTATCGCATATTTCATTCTCGATATTAACATTAAGTTATGTGTGATATTTCTCACGATTTATAGACAAACGCACATGTGTGATCTCACATAAAATTGGCATTGAATATAACAAAAGGGATTTGTTCATTTTTGATGTCTAGAATTTTATGGACTGAACTATGAGGTCTACTGCAACACAAGGCTGCTTCATTCCCAAGCATTGCTAATCTAAATTGTGGGATGTCATGTAGATTTACCCTAGCTGATAGCAAACATTTCATGAAAGACGTCATTTTGGAACGACCCACAAAAAGCCAAATTTTTCAATATTGTCATGAAAATGAGCTTCTGTGTTTACCAATAGCCGTCAAAAATTCGTTATTCTCATTAAATTGTAAGAAATTATTTTTAACACTGTCTAAACGTGCGTGGCATTAGCAAAAACACATGTTTATTACAAAAATATACATTTTCATGCCCCCAAAGTGAACAAAAAAAAAAGAATTGTGAAAATATAAATTTCAAAGTCAAAAAGAAAATTATTTCAATTCACTGATCGTCATCAGCATACAAAATATATAATCTCAAAGAAAGATAGATGAATTGTGTATTAAATAATACACATGACCCACAACATTTTTGATGATGAGATATTAAGAAAGGGAAACAAGACTTTTTCTTATTCTGTTCTGTCTAAAAATAGAAGCGCCGCAATGCAATTCAAAATGCGAAGAAATAAAAAAAATGTTTATGAGTGAATGAAAATATTTTAAGTAAATTGTTTTTTTACTTCTTCTTTGAAGGAAACAAGTGGGAAATTTTTTTGTGTGTCTGTTTGTTTGGATGATGTTGTTGGGAACGCATTCTTCACCTTGATGACTTAAATAGAATTTAGAGATTCCTCCTGTAAACACATAAATCTTGCGTGTGTCATTTAAATTTAAAATAGTTTTAATAAGTTGGGTTGTGTGGCAATTGACAGATGTACTCTTGGTTAGAAAGATAATTCAGTTGATGAACAAGATGTTGGAATTTCTTAATGCTGTGATTTGAGTAGAACTTATAGACTGAACCTTAACAGACTCCACAGAGACCCTTGACGGACTTTGCAGAGTTTGATATCGTTCTTAGACTCTTTATAGTGTCCTCAGAACCTATATACTGTCATCAAAGTCTAGATACACTCCATAATCCCTTGACAAACTCTTTAATGGCTTTAAATGATCCTCAGAACCCTTACAGACTTTCTGAAGTCATGATCGACTTCACAAATGATCTTTACTACTCAAATAAAATGTTTGCATCCCACCAACGTTGCTTAATGACTCACAAAGTATTCTTTCAAAATATAAAATATTATTTAAATTTTTCTAAAGATTCAAAAACATTATCAAGACATTGAAATGAAAATTCATTGGAATTGAAAGCTTTCAATAATATTTAATTCAATTAAAAGAAACAAAAGGTTAAATACACAGCAAACCTGTGAGAACAATCTATATCTATAATTAGAAAACTACAGCAATAAGCTACACAAATATGAAAATATTCCGCCCATAAATCCATATAAGTGGAAGTAATACTTTATCGCCTTTGAACTTCTAATGATGACGTAAATTCAAATAGTTTTTTTTTCCTTGCTTCTTCGTGTGTTTTTTGTGAGTTGGAAAACCCAAAATATAAACAACATTCCTTTCGCAAACTCGCATGAAATTTGTCGGATTTTCTTCATCTTGCTTGCTTCTTCTTCTTATTTTTCATTCACAAAATAAAATCAATTTCTTTTTTTTTTTTGATGATGTTGTTGTTGTAGGAAATTGCTTTGTTTCTGCCTTTTATTTCTCTTCCTTTACTGATAACAAATTCTTTTAATGATTGAAATGAAGAGGTTACGAAGAAAATGTGGAAGTTATGGATGAGGAAATAATATTTCTTGTATGTATATTTTTTCATGTTAAGAAGATAAAATCATGTCTGGAAAATATCAATCTCTTGATTCTCACATAAGTACATGATTTTTATTTTTACGCAAATGTTCTTCAAAGCAGACATACCACAATGAAATTTTAGATAGGAATAATAGGAAGATATGATTGTTTAGGGGGATGTTGGCTTGCAGTTCATTGGATGTGAATTATTTCGAACGATTGTAATCTGTAGATAGTCCTCATGAATGTGTAAGAAAGAATCCAAGAGCAAGGATAGCTAGTCAGATACATAAAATTAGTCAGATAAGGGGCCGTTCACTTATGACGTCCAGGAGGGGGGGGGGGGGGGGGGGGTCAGCAAGAAAATAACAATAGAAATTCCTGGAAATCCATTGTTCTCTTTTGAAAAATTACCGTTATTTTCGGACGTCATGAGTGAACAATCCCTAAGGTACCCTACCAAAAATCCAAGTTCCACTCTTTTAGAAGTGAAGGTCTGAGTCCCATTTCGAGACAATTCTTGGTTTGAATAATCAAAAATCACATGTTCAATTCAAAGCATCCAAAAATCTCCCTTCTAGTAGTAATCCCCCTATGCATGTAAGCATAAGCATCTCATACTCAATAATTTTTATGATTTCAAATAAAGATAATATTAAATGCGTTCAATATCACTTGATTTGTGTATTTGATGTTTAAGTTTCCATCTTCAAAAGTTTTCGCAATGGTTGTCTGGTCTTTATGAATGATGTGTCTTTATTGAACATGATGATCACCATATCAATATTCAATTTAAATGCAATGATTGTGAAAATGTAATGCATAAAATCATAAATAAATTTATGAACTGTAAATTATTAACTTTTTTTATGTGCTGTGCGAAAAACAAAACGAGGTCACATGGAATGCAATTCCACAAGTTTTATGTATCGTTGAAATAGCTTTTAACTGCTGGTAATAAATCTCATTCACAATGTATATAAAGTTGGAATTACCTTTTTATTTTTATATCCACTTGCAATCTTGCTATGCAGCAACAACAGAAACGTGCTAGAGAAATTTTTCTTTGCAACCAGAAAATTAATTTTCTTAATAAGTGAAAATTAATTTTCATTTCCGGACATTTACCACAATAGTGCAATTTTAGAAACTGTTAATTACAAATTGAAAGCCTCAAATTACTTTTACACATTGACCTCACATGATGCCATAGAATTATAGTCGAAAATTAAAAAGTGATTTATGGCTTCTCATTGTTCCTTAATAAAAAAGTTTCTCTGCCGTTTATCGTAAAGATTTTTCTGATAAGAAGAGCTTTTTTAAGTCAGCTATTGTTACTGACATTTTATGGTTACTATGTAACGAAGATCCTTTTGTGGATTATGAAAACATGCTGGAGGAAAATTGATGCTTTTGTGTACTTTTGTTAGATTAGATCCAAGGCAGATGACTAAGAAATTTTTTTATAATTTTTTTGGGGATGTAGATAAGATGTTATATTGGTTTTAGGTGGGCGACATCGATTAATTTTAATGAATCCCTGGATGCAGTATATAAACAAATTATTGAGGAATTCTGTTGATATTGGATAGACATTTGTTTGAGAAATTTGATTTGTAGCTCATTGCCATCTCTTGTATGAAAGATACCTAAAATTAAGCTTATGCTATGCTTATCACATTTCCAATTCCATTTAAACATCATCAAAACATCAAAAATTTCCCATCCCATCGTCATCAAATCTCCCACTTCTAAAATCAAAAAGTATCCTTAATTACAACGAGACACATCAAATAAATTATTCAAAAGATGATAAATCGAAACTAAAACAAGCATAAGAGAGACAAAAATCAACATCAGTGCCATCATTTTACTAATTATAAAAAACGAAAGGAAAATAAACGATTTCGATATTATTTTTAGTTTTTTCAGCTATATCTATTTCTGTACCATCACAATGATGGATGATTTTTAAATTAGATTCGCCATCTCTCTCCTTTTTCCGTCACCTGACATCCACATCCGAATAGTTCAGATTGAAATCTTTCTCTCTATTTTATTATTCATTGTTGTTGTTAAAACGTTTTGCAAGTTTTTTTTGGTTCATGTCTGTGTCTGTTCTGCTTAATATGAGGTTAAAATATTTGCCATAGACATTTTACCATTGACATCTGGTCAAGTCATGTCATTAACATTAACATTTAAACCCATTTTCTAATTTTTAAACAAACAACCATCCGATCTAACAATAACATTGTGATTGTAACTGATTTGGGCAGATTCTGATTATATTCTCGTGCTGATTGGACTAATATTAAAATAAGGCATAACAACTAATGTTTTTTGATATCTCCATAATGAACGTATATGAATCTCTGCTTTTATTTTATGCCTGCTACTCTTCCTCATCAAATAATAATTACATGAATATCCAATATGTTTATCTACTTACATTCATGTCTAGCGTCAGCTGTATCAATTTACTAAATTATTCAAAATTTTTCATTGGTTCAAAATTAGTCACTAAATGAATAATTTCCAATTTTAGGTAATTGGTCCGAACAAAATCGCTCACAGGAGTTAATACAGAAGAAATTAGATTCACCACCACCGGCGCCTGTATGGTCACCAAAATCAGCACCACCATCTCCTACTACTGACAGAAAATTTCGACCTGTACCATTCGAATCTCCTACATTATCACGCAAAAAGCTAATAACCAAAGACTGTCCATCACCACCACCCTGGACAGATCCTGACTATAAAGATAAGCCATACCAAGGATCCATCATAAAGAGCAGTAGTCTTAACACAATCTCATCACCGCGCGTTCAACAACAAAATCACGTCATATTTAGAAAGGCAAAAGGTAATAAAAAGAAGAAAATTGACATTTATCGCATTCATCCCATCTGTGCCTTAGAAAATTTCATTCATTTGAGATTCGTTTTTCTTTCACATTTCCACCCACAAATGAATGGAAAGGCATCTATCTCAATTAATCTTTTTCACACATTTTATGTTCTTGTTATTTCATTATTTTTTTCTCTCTTCTATATCTGTGCTATTTTTTGTGCTACTCCTATTACATGCATATTATGTATAGCTGATCAATTTAATGAGAAATTTGACAAAGGCACACAGAACACATCACCGAAAGATAAATTGATATCATTCAAAACGACACCTTTAAAATCTAGTAAATCAAATGAATTAGGTAAGAAGACATATGATAATGGCAATAGCAAACGATGAAGATGATGATGATGTGATTGTTTACAAATCATTTTGTTTTACAGTCTATTCTATTAAGCAAAGAGATAGTGAAGTCAAAGACAGTGACATCAACAATAATAATAAGAGAAGTAATAATAACGAAGCAACAATCTCAACTGTTACGACGACGACGACTAAAAAGATGACAACACAGCAACAGAATTCACCAAAGAAAATTGATGGCGTTGGTCCTACCACGTCAGAAGGAATGCCACTGTCCCTTAGATCGGTAAATTAAGCAATTCAATGTTATTTAAATGATCAGAGTTGGGATTATTGAATTACATTGATAAAAGAGGTCTTTAAAGAGGTTTTTGCCAATGGATAAATATTCAATCGTCTAATCCTCAATACAAAATTGAATTAAGTCACCAACTCTGCTCAAACAGACACAACCTCATAAATTTTGACTATAAATAAGCTTTGTCTAAACGATCAATTAATCAATCAATATTTAATTAACTTTTGTGCAGGAAGTAACAGACATGAGCCGTGACCAATGGTATAAGAAGATGTACAACACAATACATAAAGCCAAAGATGACGGTAAAGATGGACAAAAAAAATTATCTCTCATTTAATCGTTAAGGGGCTGTTCACTTATTACGTAACGCGAAAAAATGACTTTTTAGACCCCCCCCCCTGTAACAAAATTTGTATGAAAAAAAAATTTCCTTGTTTGAACCGTAACAAAATCTTAGACCCCCCTCCCCCCCTAAAAGCGTTACGTAATAAGTGAATGGCCCCTAACCACAAATGTCATAAAAAGATGTTGTTAACAAATCACACACAAAATTGATTAATAATCCACAATATTTTGATCTTCTTTGTTTTTTATATGTGAATCCTTCTTCTTATTCTTTATTTTATTGTAGATAATTATGTGACTGTCAAATATAAAACAAGACGAGGTACATGCAAAACTTTTATTAAAATACACAAATTCACACATTCTTTCTAGACACATTTCATTAAAATTTTAAAATTCGCAAGTCTTAATTAATCGTGTGATGAATGCATTTCTCGCATTATTTATTTGCACATACATTTTGAGGCAGTGAGGTAGAAATAATGATGTATTCACTTACTCTTACTGCAATTATTACTCATAAAATGGTAGTTTATGCTTTAACTTTTTTATTCAGGCACTATAAAGATTAAAGTAGCAACTTTTTTTCGGCTCAGTGAATGTAGAATGTTTATTACTACTCAGAAATTAAATAATGTATATCTCAAAAGATTTAATACAAAGTGTTTTGTATTTTATGTCATAAATAATTTAATGATTTTCTCAAAAGCATTTGAAAGTTATTCGATTTTTATGTGGTCATGTGATTGAATGACTCGAAGATTTTAAAAGCTATTGACATAAAATTAATTGAATTTTTTTCTCGTGGTTTAAACTGTTGGATAATGTTTTGTGTTGCTATGCTTGCAAGAAGCATTATGGTAACCTAGTAAGATGTGGGATATTGAGTCATTTACAGGTGGATATGTTAGTTCAGAATTATATCTTTGTGACCTGGAAGTACGCAGGCAGGATGTGTACAATCGTCTTGAAACAAAAAGCGTGACCAAAAAGTTTTGATTGATGACCTAAAATAACCTATATTAGGACAATATTGAGGCTGAGTTTCAAGTCGATTGGACATATATTTCCCGCGTACTTCCAGGACACATATCTTTATGGAATAATTCTTAATAAGCTTCATATCTGCATTGTGAAGGAGGATGAGCTCATTAAGACTAGATCCACAACTAAGATGCAACAAAATCGACAAAAAATGTCAGTATCCAACAAATAAGTATATGTACATGACTAATCAATGCCACCCACCTGTCAATTGTGCAAATTCTACATGGTCAATGAATGTAAATTTAGTTTCGGTGCCTTTTGATTAATAGAAAAGTGTTAAAAGTCTATAAATATTGAGTCTTTAAAATACAAATTGTCTCTAAATATGCAAATGTGTATTCAATAATAATTATAAGAGCTTTTAAGACTCATCAAAATTAATCAAAATTTATTTATTTTAATTTGCAAAACAGGAATTCCATATAAATCCAATGGATACGCTTCCGAGCCGGATACAAACTACGATTCGGACTATATAGTTAAGTATAGTAGCGGTGCAAGTTCCGACAGGCAAAGAACAATATCAATAGGTAACCAAAGTGAAGATAGGTGAGTGCATTCAATTGTTTTGATGCTTGAATAGCCATAAATGCATTTAATTTATATTATTCTAGATATGGTTCCATGGAGCAGCCTGTCAAGCCACTCATTGGACAATATAAAATTCAACCAGGGCGAATTGAAAATTATACGCCAGGAAAGTCATCAGTTTCAGACAAAGAGGCTAAACAGGTGAATGACTCGCATATTTGTTGTCTCAATATATCATTTATCCAACTTCCGATTGCAATCAATTCAGTCACAAAAAGTGAAACAGTTCTTCATTATCCAATTTCTTCTCTTTCTTTCTATCTTTCTACATTTCATAATATATTGATTGTTTCTTGCTAGTCAGTAGAGTCATGTTATTCATTTACATTTTGGATTATAAATTGAATGGTGATGAATATCCAGAAATTTATTTAAAATTCACATTTCACTGATTTTCATCCACACTATTGTAAATATTTTTTCATGCAAAAAATATCAAGTTTGAAAATTTAATCGATCAATCAATCAACTGCTTAATATTCCTCAAAAACTTTATATCAAATTTAAAATATTTTTGATAATAAGTCATAAATCATCAAACTTTTTAATTTCTGTCATTTCCATAAACTTCTCTTTCTCTATTTTTTTTATATGTTTAATAAATATACACAAAATTGAAAATTCACTAGAATCAGAGATGTTAAGGGAGTGGTTTTTAGTAGTTTTGTTATATTCATTTTGAAATTTTTTGGTGACAATTTTGAAGGTTCTTCAAACACCTTCAAAATTGTCTTAAAAGAGAGCTAAGGTTTAAATTTTCCGTTCTTGTTATCTTTAGAGGATGATTCTAAGGCAATGTTCTTATGATTAGATGAGACTAAAGTCTCTAGTATCTACTATAAATAGGCTGGTCATGTGCTTGGTTTTTCAGAGGACAGTCCTCTATTTTTTTAAATTATTCTAAAATAAAATAGTTTTGTTCTAATTCGTCCAGAAAACGAATAAAATTGGTTGACACGTAAATGCAAATTTAAGTATTTAATCCAAAAGTTGTGAGATTTCTACAGACCCGAATGGCACAAGTTGGTTAATCGATCAGAAATCCGGCACCAAGCAGGTGTGACTGTGGCATGATGCTGGATTTAAATTGAAGTCTGCACCATGTCAGAATCATGTCTGCTTGGTGCTGGATTCCTATTCTATTAACCGACTTGTGCTATTCGGGAGAGTTGCCAAAGAAAAATGGAAAAAGCTAGTTTATAATATACAGAGGCTGCCTAGACTAAGCACTCAAAATTGCTTAATAATCGAGAAAATAATTTGATCAGCTTAACACATCTCACAAAACTAGCTCAAAACATACAATAAAATTCAACTTAACAACTCTGATTCTTGAAGAGCAAAAAGTTAATTAAAAATATTAAATTCACATGAGATAAAGTACTAATCAACATAATTATCATTATTACAATATTTATTTTAGTGGTGGGATGATATAATGGAAATTTTCGATGGGGTAAAACGTTATTTCTTATTATTATTTTCCCTTTATTATTATTTTTTTGTAACACAACAAAAAAAAGCTTTTAGTTCCATAACATCATTTGATTCCCCTTAATTAATTTTTTCAATAACTCCACACAAAACACATTAGCCAAGTTACACCCGCAAAATTTTTATTGCACTTTTTATGAGTAATTTTTGTTGCACAGAACAGAAAAAAAAGCACAAAGAGTAGCAAAAACCGCACCCCAAAAGCACTTTCACTTGACTTTAACTACATAAAATACTAACATTATGCTTATTACTTTCTTTTTTATCTTTAAACTATTTTTTTGGTACGAATAAAACCCCTTTCGATAATAATAACATTATCTACTAACCATCAACAACTATGAACTATGTGAACCGCATCCATCTATCAAAAAATATATAAAAAAAAATAATCTCCGCAACCAACATTCTTCATTAACACTTCCTCTTGCTGTCTGTGTCTGAAATTTCTCATATTGTACAATGTGCTCATAACAATCACGCATTCAGTGGCTTGATGAGCATTCCTCGAAATCATTATGTGGTATTAAGTTGGCGAAAGAAGTTGAGAAATTTGTAAGTCAATTAATGTACATTTTTTTTTAACCCAATCCATTCAGTTCAGTATTATTATTTGATATTCCAGCAACGCAGGAAAACTCATTCTTCCGTCCTCTGCTCATTATGTCGCAGAATATTCTATCTATGCTGCTTTTATATTTTATCATGCATGTGTGAATCCGATTTGTATTATTTACTTTTTATATGGTTCATTAGTTCACCTCCCATGTTCATGTTATTTTAATCTACTTTTTTTTGTACTTTTGTCTTCCGGTTTCCGATTTTTGATGAAATATTTTTTTGAAATGCAAAATTTTTTTGTAGATTTTTTTTTATTCAAAACTTTTTGATTTTTTTTTTTTTAATTGAAGACTTGGAGAAGCTTTGCCAGAATTGTATGATTCATTCCTGACTTTATCAGTTGCCTAGCTCCGACAAAACTTCTTCAAGATTCATCATTAAAAACAAAATTTTTCTGTATCATAATTGAAGCCTGTAAAAAAGAAATTTCCATATTAAATCCATCCTTCAATTTTCTTTCATTTTCATCCTTCACAGCATCTTGAGCAACAGAAATTAGCATCCAATTATACGCAAGGAAATCTTTCAAGGTAGAAAATTTGAAATTATGTTCATAAATTTTTAATTTCATTTTTCCGTACTTTTTCTCACCTCAGAGCATTGAAGGATCAAGGATACCAAAGTGATTCAACACTAGTCTTCAAAAAGAAAAATGATGTAGAGCAATTAAGTCCCGTCGAAACGAAAATAGCTTACAGAAGTTTTCAAGAAGGCGGGGAAGTGCCATTACATGGCTTTCGAAAGCATGCACCTGAAAAACCAAAAGGTATGAGACTCAGTTTATTATTTATACACAAGAATTTCTTCTTAAAAATACATGAACACAAAAATTCAATTCATTTCATCCATGAATATAGAATCAGCATTGCACTTATTAATGTAACTTTTCTGTTTGTTAATTTTTGATGTTAAATTGTAGCTGAAAAAAGAGAATTTTAATGTTTTATGCTAACCCAAAAAATAGAACTTATTTTTAAGCACGAAGTTTTTATTTTGATCCATTTTGGAATGCAAATATGCAAATAAATGTGCTAACCTTTCTTCCATTTCTTCTGGATAAAGAGTTGCGCTAAACAAATAATAACTTTCTATAACATTTAACAAGAAAATGGGATTCAACTGAGTTGTGTGTGACACAAACAGGTTAATGCGGTATGAATGAAGAAAATAAATGTTTCTAACCATTATCACGAATAGCAAGCTCAACGACAACAATCTATTTTTTTCTGTCAACATCATGCAAAAAAAATACAAAGTTTTTCTTCTTGTGCAAGCATCCATGATGCAAAAAAAACGTAAGGATTTTCCTCCTTTTCGTCGTCACAAAACCAAAAAACACATATGCAGCAGCAAAAAAATAACCAAGTTGCAGGTATCAGCACATTTTCTTTGGGCACAAAAAATGTAATTTCTATTTGGATAAAATATTACTAATGTGATATAACTCTACAGATGGAGAAGATGAGCAGGATGAAAATGAACAAGATGATGTTGAGCTTACTGAAGTTGCTCGTAAGCATAAAATGAAGATGCCACATGACGAGCGTGCGATAATAAATTCAGAAATCATTTGTTATCCGATTACAAACATTTCCCGACCATTAGACATGTTTGGTCCGTTTCCAAAAAGTGTAAAGTCCTTTGTGCCAGTTGTTCCACCGCAACCACCGAACCGTAAATCGTCGAGAACAAATTCAACATTGAAAATTGTTTCACATTTAAATAAAAATCCTCGCACCAGAAGCTGCACCAAGCACGACTCTCTGAATGTAAAATTCTCAACAAGTTGCAAAAAATCATCGGAATTAAATCGTTCTCGTTCTGCTGGGCCATCATTCATTTCCACATATGTTTCGGCCACATCACGTAATGATGAAAGACGCTTTGATTCACATCATACGAGAATGGCAAGAAGAATTTGTTATCGTGCGAGCTCCTCAAGTCCCATTAGACGTAAAATATTTCATGAACGTAAATCCAGTCAAAGTCCAGTCGCATTTGGACGAGGCTTATCTAAGGAACGGGCATTTGCCGTAGAAAAGAAAAAAGTTGAAGAAAAATTGGCGAAAATCTCAAAGGATTTGCATGTAAGTACAAGAATACTTCGTAATCCTGAATTGAGATCCCCAAATGAAGTGAAGCATGCAGTTCAACAAACTTTCAAACCAATCACATGTGTAAAAGACCCAAGACTAGCATCATTAATGGTTAAGAAGTCACTTGAAAGTCAAGCATATCAATCAGCAAAAAAATCAGAACAGCAGAAATCTCTGAAAGTAACAGTAGCAATATCATCACGTGGAAGAGAAATTATGCGAACATCAGCGGAGACAGCACCACGTAGCTTACGTCAGCCATCAAATGTATCCACATTATCATCAAAATCAAGTGTACTCACGAAAAGTGCTGCATCAGATATCATTACAGCAAAAAATAAATTGAAAGTGAAATCAAAAGGTTCAATCATCACAAGCTCCAACAATAGCTTGGCACGGACAAACTCAACATATTCAATTGATTCAACTTTATCAAAGAAGAAAGCTCCACAGCAGCTAGCTGATTTGAAAATTGTAAAAAATGTTCCCATTACAATAACAAGTCAGAAATTGAAAAAATCAGCTTCATCATCATCAAAAGCTACGTCAGATAAAGGCAAGGGAGCCACAACTGTTGCGAGGCAAGACAAACAACAAAAGACTTCATTTCAGGATTCCCAGGTGGATGATAATCGAAAAGTTGTGGAAAGTATTAATGAAACTATTGTACATCAGAACGAAGCCGTAAGGACAAACTCGTTCTTCCAAAATCTCTTTTTACGTGATAATGTTAAAAAATTTGGAGCACCAATAAATCCAAATTCAAGTGTCATGGAAAAAGCTCGCATGTGGAATGCCTTAGCGTCGTATAAATCAGAGCCATCACTTCGTCATCCTAATCATTATTTGCATCAATCACGCCTCGTTTCCCATTCAAAGTTTCGTGAATATGAAAAGCGAAATGAATCGGAGGAATGTTACGCAATATTCAATCGACCAGTCACTGAAGCTGAGGCATTGAAAGGTGGCTTTGTCATGGAGCAAATTTATAAATATGATTCATTAGTTCAATTATCTGATGAGGATGAGTTTGGTAATAGCAATCGGGGTCGATCATTAGACTTTTTATATAGCTATCATGAGAGGAGCAATAGTGAACCGCCAAGCAAAACGGTAATGACAGAATTAGTGCATCCATACTCTCCAGTCATAATTTATGGACGTAATAAATCAGTTGAGACGGAAAAAAGGCAACGCACATCTCGTTCACCATCGTGTCGTCGTATACAGAACTTAAAGACAAATAAATTAATGGAATTGAGTTCATATCAAAAGGAAATAGTGCGTGCACAAAGTGTCGGTCGTACAGACCGAGCAAAAGAGAAGCTTAGCGAAAAAAGTAATAGCAATTTGCACCGCAGCAAGTCACTAAACATTCTAAATTATGAGAAACATTTGCCAATTTGTGGACATAAAAAGAACGAACGTTTCCGAGATTTAAAAGATTTTTATACATGCCTCGAACGTATCGGTCAGTTGGAATGTGCAACATCTAATTCCGATTTACGCCCTCGGCGTCGTAATGAGGATATTATTGATTATGATTTATGGCAGAAAGTCCGCGAATATGAAAAGAATGAACGTGAATTGAATATTTTGCTGAAAAAATTGCGTACTGAACAACGCGACAAAGATTTTCTATTCCAACCTCATTCAGCCGATGAGTATCGTTGGGCAGCTGATGCTGATCTCGGATTAGTGACAAAAGAAAAATCCGTTGAGAATTTAAAAGAACTTTTTAAGTTACAGTCATTAGATGATGATGATGCTGATGCTGTTGAGTATGTCGAAAAAGTATCTGGAAAGTCAAAGAAAAAGAAGAAAATTGGCTATGAAAGCATTAAAGACAATTACAAACCTCTTTGGAGAGCAAGTTCTGTATTGGACTTAGCCACAAACATGACAAAGAAATTTAACAATAAAAGCAAAAAGTCGACATCATCCACATTACCAAAAGCCGACAAACATGAAAAGAATTTGGGATTAAGTCGAAAGCTATTAAGTACATTATCGAGAGATCAATTGAGAAAGATTAAAAACCAATTAACGGAAATTTATTCGACGTCATCAAACGAAAAGCCTGCAGGCAATGACAATAACAATTGCAATGAAAATGTCGATAATGTCGCTAGCTCGAGTATTGCCAATAATATAACAAATAATATTGAGGCATATGTCGTTACAGTTCCGGTAAAGAAACCAGCAATTGATGGCCAATTTCTCACCGTACGCAGTCATTCAGAATTGACAAAAGATAAAATTCAAGAGCCAACTGTAGACATATCAACATTAAAGAATGTCTTCGAGAGCAAACCATCATCCACAAAAGCATCAAGTGAGATATCCGAAACAGAAAAGCGTTCAATTTCACACTCATTATGTCAGGAAATAAAAGATAAATTCATCCAAACTAAGAAGAAGAATCCAGACATTGAACGTGTAAAAAAGATTGAGAATGCTATCAAATCGAACAAGACATTGCCTGCAGCCAAAATAGCTACAGCACCAAAACGAGATATTTCATTTTCATTCCATGAAGCACCTCCTGCTGCCACAAAATATTTGGTTGATTGTCTTCCGACCGCACAAGCAACATCGTCATCAACAAATGTGAAGAAAGCAGCACAAGCGAACGAAACCGAAAGTATCTCATCCGAGACATCAAATCGAACGGTTATATTTTGTGATTCATCCACCACAATGGAGGATGTATATGCAAAGATAAAATATTTCGAGAAAATCGAAAAGGAAAAGGATAAAGTTCCCGTGACAGTTTATCATGCTCGTGACGATTCTTCGCCAGATGAGCATGAAGATGATGCGAACAAAAAGGAGAAAATTACTTCCGCAAATGTGAAGCAAGAATCCCAAATCGATAAATCCACAATTTCCGTTACATCTACTGCCGTACAACAATCACCTCCAAAATTGACTTCCTCACAATCCTTCACAGACTTGAAAGATTTATTTGGTGAACGTTCATCTATGAAATCCAATACCACCTTGCGTAGTTCAAATGAGAATTTCGGTGAAAGTCGTGGCATGCTGATGAAGAGATCACGCAGCACGAGTCCATGTGAATCTGAAAAATGTTATAAAAGTCTTAGCGAGTTTGGTGACGTTGAGAAATTAAAGATGAAATTTGAAAATTATTCACTGTCTGGTGCCGATGATGACAGCTCATGTCATTATATTTTCAGTGATTCAGAATTAAATAAAGCAAGTAAGACGCGCATCCGTGGACACGAGTATGGAAATGTGTCTCATATCACACATAAATATGAGATGCAGTCAAAACGTGCACGTCGTACACGACGCACTTCACCGATTCTTAAGCATTCAATGAAGAAGAAAGATGATCGATTGATGCCGCATATAAATGTAATCAGTAAAACAGCCAGCTTAAAAGATCGTCAAAGAATGTCAGTAAGCAATAAAGATAGTTTGGATAAGATTGATGCAATTCCGAGTACATCAGGTGAAGTAGTTGCTAAAATTAAACATAAATTTGAAACTCTCGATAGCAATTTGTCGTTGATGGGTAAAATGTACACGTCAGTGCCGGATTTTCGCGAATTGAATGATATCTCGCCACATTTGTCCCATCTACCTTATTGCGGAAACTTTGTGTCTCATCAATATCCACGGCCAGAAGATAATAATCGTTCCATTAATTCACCAGATAAAAGTAAGCCCGGCATAAAGCCACGCAAACGTCCATCATCAACATCACCAATACGTAAAGATCACATCACAAATGTCACAAAACAATTGCGCGAAATTTTCAGCGACGATCAAATGTTTGATCGATTACCAAGAAATCGCTATTTGCCTGATAGACAAGCTGAAGCTGAATATTTGTGGCACAAGAAGCAATTCAAAAAGCTATCATCATCGGCTTCATATAAAGGTTACTTTTGAAAATGAAGAAAATTTCTTCTATTTGAATTACGTGCACACACGCGACAGCATTAAAGCACATTGTCTACATATTTGCACTCCAATATTTTTTTTTTGCACGCAACTCCCTTTGAATAAGTTTTATTTTATTTAGCAGATTAGAGAAAGTGCAATTTGTCTTGTAAATACCTTCATGTGAATGCTTTCATTTATACATACAGCTGTTGTTATTATAGTTCATGTGTATTCGACGTTAATTTTTTTCGACTATTTATTTTATTATTAATTTTCTTTAGTTGACTTAGACTCATTCACATACTCACCAAGAACACCATCAACACCCCCATTAGTTCCCCCAAAAAATAATTATAATTTAAACGGCTATTTTTCAGGTAAGATTATCGATCTGCTTATTTTTGAAATCTTTCATTCTTTGGTTGGGGTGTCCAGGTGGCCTTTGGATATTTTTAAATTGTTTGCTCCAAAATCCTAAAATTTCAAATCATCAAAATCTAATCAATCATTTTTACCTCCCCCCTACTTCCTATTCATCCACTATATCCTAATAATATGGACACCCTTCTTTTCATACCCAAGATTCATGAAATAAAAAAGGTTAAAAAGATTACAATTTAATTTACACTTACTTATCCAAAAAAACACACTTATGTACATATTCAGCATGTCCCATTATTCCCATGATAAATTTTCAAATTTCATGCTCTATTACGTAAACTAGTCATATGTGATAATAATAATAATAACCGTGATGTGGAAGTCAATCGTCAAAAAGATCAAGTGGTCAAAAATAGAAAGCAAGTATGAAAGTTTATTGGGCATTGCTTAATATGATGGCGAATTTATGCGCAGTTTATGCTGTGAGCTGTGAATAGCTTGAGCAGTGAATGCTTTTTAAGCATTTTTAATGATTTTTGGATTAATGATGGGAAAATATTTGGTTGGGAGTAAATTTGAGGAATGATTGAGTTAGTGGCGTCTAGCACGCATGCAATAGGTTTTTGGCAATTCAAGTTATCAATTCATATAAAAACTACAACTCTAATTCAAATCTCATGATTTACAGCCTGCAAAACTCTAATCCTTCGGTAACGACCAGGAAGAAAAACTGCCATTTCCATAAGCTTTGTAATCAGTCATGTCTGCAAAAAGTACCTTAAGCATAATAAACCAGATAGTGTCAAATCTAAAATTAATTAAATTTGAAAGCCATTTCTCTTTTTATTACATCTCATTCACTTTCGTTTGGATACAGGAAATTGAACTCTTTCTCGGCATTTTTATCATTTCGTCATCAACATACGAATAAGATGTCATGAACGACCACAATTTATTTTTTATATGGTTTTATAAACCATAAATGCATAATATGATTCTTGAAAATCAATTTTATATACATGCGGCACTCGATAATATGATTTCAAGCGAGCATAACCTATCATTCATGAAAATGCGATAACTTTCTCGAATAGCCCGGCACGTTTAATCATTCATGAATGATTATGCACACGCTGTCGTTATGTTGGCAATCGAGAGACATTAGAGAGGAACGGAAAGACAGAAAGATCACAAAAGAGTGAATTAAAATATTCGACGATGCCTTTTTCTCTTACACAATTTAGTAATTTAAATATTTAAAATGAAACTAAGACTATGCAATAATGCATCAGTTGACAGTTCTTTCAACTCTTCCTTCCTCATTGTATGCGACATGAAAAAGAACTTAAAGTGAGACTAGCCATTGACAATAGATGAATGAAGGGAAATAAAAACATGAATAATGGTCACGAGAAAGACCTCTTTTCATCTCATCCATACCATTCTTGGGATGGGAAATGGACAAAACTTGGCTGTTTGGAAGTAGTCGTCTGATTTTTTTCTCAAAAAAATTTTACGGTTTTTTGAAGTTTCAAACGGTTCTTTAGTTAAATTTTGAAAATTCTGTCCAAAATGTTAGTGAATTTTTGAAAATTTTGAAATTATTTTAGAAAATAAAATCGAAAAATTCAAATTCTTACCGTTGACTTGAAATTCCCAATTTTCTCACCAAACCCTCAAATGCAGATTGCATTACAATTTTAATAGACAACATTTCATAGTAAATAATGTTGCTGCCACCATTATTGTGTATTAATGTAAGGCATAATTAACATAAATAAAAAATTAAAGGCATTTCCAACTTTCTATCGATAGCTATAAATAAATAAAAATATTCCGATAGAGTCGCGACTCTTATTATTAGTTATTCAAAAGAAGAAAAGCATTTTATAATGAATTACTTAATGGCATCACCACACATTTTTCTTTATCATCATTCACAGGCACCTCTGAAAATTGAAATATTTGTTTTGTGCTCAGTAATTTCCTAAGACAAGATAATGAATGAATGAAGACCTAAAGAGGATGAAAAACATTCATTAATTTAATCATTTGTTGGAATTGCATTATTCAATATTTTAATGAATGGTTAAAGCTTGTCAGTCTCACACAAAGAGAATCATTTCTTCAGCATCAAAACATGCTTGAAAATTGAGAGCTTTAAAATATTTTCATATTTAAAAGATGAAATGTTGAGCCACATGTGAGGTATTTTCATTTGTATTATGACAATGAGCTTGGTTTTTATGGAGTATCATCATGTGAATGTATTTTTATGAGGAGGGGAAAGTTGATACTTCCGTTGTGGTAATGTACACATGAGAATAGATCACATACACCTGTGGTTACCTGTGAGATATGTAAATAAATAAAAGAACCTTCATTTCCGTACGAATCCAAACCAATTTCTATTGTAATGCTATAAAAACAAAAAACAAGCCAGAATATCATTAATATTATTATTATGCAGTTCTGTTTTGATTTCTTTCTTCTTGTTACTGTCATTGTGAATGTTCTGGCTCGATTTCGTGCATGTGAGAATGTCGTTACTGCTTTCTTTTACCGCTCTCTCGCTCCTTCTCTCTTTCATCGTTATAGTTTTTCAATTTAAATTAATAGACTTTCTAGAATATTATAACTTTATGGGATTTCCGTAGAAATTATTACATTTTGAAGTCTATTTGACTCGTTGTTCTAAATTTCATAAGAAATCAATTTGCATTTTCGATAGTATTTTATATGACACTAGTTGAAATGATGGCTATTTGAATTCTTTGAGTAATTGTCAATTTCTTTTGGTATTAAGATGTCCGAAATTTTATTGACATTTAAGCTAATTTGAAGAGTCAAACAAAAAACCGCAAAACCGTTTTCAATGATTAAATAAAGCTTTTTGTAATTGTGACTTACAAACAAATAGAGATTTTCATAAAAAAAATATTAAAGTTCAACGGTTCGAATCCTCTCGAGTATGAAAAATAATCTTGTTAATTATTCTTTATAGTCTTTTTTTTCGTCAATTGAACTTTTTTAAAATTCATTAATTAATGTTATAATGTTAAGAAGACCAAAACTTCCAAGAGTATTTTCGAAAATTCAAATTTTACCAATAACTGAACGATATCTGCCAATTTAAGATTTTCACATAAAACAAAATTGCAAACTGCCCACGGAAATAAAATTTATTTTCCTCTCAAATTGCTAATTAATGTTAAAAATACTTTAAATGGATGTTGAGTAAGCTCGCACGTGAGTTTAAAATGATGTTTAATTATAAAACAAGAGAATTGCTCGTCTGCTTTATTTCTGTTACTTACTTGATTACGTACGTATTTTTATACCTTTGAGGGCGTTCATAAATGATGTGATAAGGGATTTTGAATTTTAGACCCTTTCTTCTCATGATTTTAAAATATTTGCTAAAGTTTAAAAATTGAGTTGAATCTGGGTAAAAATAAACATCATTATCAGACGTCCCCAAAAGGTATAAGAAGAGCAGAGAAGAAAACAAAATAAAAACTACAACATCAACAATAAAATAATAGCAAGCCATATAGTAAATGAGAGACGGAACATTACTTACTTACATTTCTCTACGTCGCTTTCTGTCTTTCACCGACTCACTCCATTCATATAATTTTTATTTTCTTCTCCTCAGTTTGTAAGAAACGGTTGATAAGAAAGCACTCGAAATATTATTTTTTTTCATATAAAGTAACACGAAAAATTTCCAACGTGAGAAGCGCGCGCGATTTTTTAATTTCACACGTTTATCGTCAAACACGATTACATCATAGGATTTTTGTGATTCATTTGAACAAGTGTGCATCTCTCATATCACACAAAACAAGGAAGAGAATTTAAAATATATAAAAAAAATGTTGAACCTGCTGATGAGAGGTAACAGAGAGTTCTCAGTCAAGGTTGAATTTTAAATGTTGAATATTTCATTTGTGTACGGACTTTTTTTTTTGGGTTTTCATTCGATTTATTTATACATGATATTCACTAATAAAATTGATCTTCATTTGTGTACCGAGCTTGTGTAATTGATTGCAGAGTTGTGAACAGAATTTTGATGTGATTTAAAAGAAAATTGAAATGTTTTAGTGAAAAAAAATTAATTATTTGAAAATTGACATTTAAAGAACTTCTAAGAAAATGATTCAAGTTAAAAAATCGTGCTGCTAGCAAGTTTTGGGCAAAAACATTTATCATGCCTGCTAAAAGTCTGGATTTTTGACACCTCTAAAATTGTGTACCTGTGAAAATGCTCTTAAATGATCAACTTCCTGGGCTAATTGTTATTCTTATCCTAAGTTATATAACAAGTTCATCCTTAATTAGCAGATACTAAACCATGAAACCTCTTAGCCTCCTTTTTGTCTTTAATGGGCAATTCATTCTTGGTTATCAATTCTTTTACGAATCCGTACCTCATGATCCATACCTACTGATCTAAATTGCCCACATTCAGATATGAGACTAAAGTTGAATTTGTATTCGAAAGATAAAAAAGAAATATTCAGATGATTAAATGTTTTTCAATAAACAATAAACAGCTATATTTTCAGTAAAGTGTTAAAACAATATTAACTACGCAATAGCAAGCAACACCTTGCCTTTAATTAACTGGGTTAAGTTAAAGTCGTGACAATTACATCAGAATTGACTTATTCCAATACGTAGTCACTGTTCAAATTTATTAAGTTTTTAAAATATTCTTGGATTCGCTGTTCTCGTGCACCAACTCTGACCGAAGATAAATTTAAATTAAATCCCGAGAGCGATCTTAATTTTTGATGCAATTGCATTATTTATGACAAATAACTTGAGAAACGGAAGAAAAATAGAAATTCAATATATATGAACCTTCCTTGCCACACTTATTCAACTCTTTCTCACTCTCTCGCTTGCTTGCTTGCTTTACAAGCAAATATTAGACTGGTCATCACACAGAAAAGCGATTGCAGGCAATCGAAAAAGTTTATTTAAAATCAAGTTCAAGAATGTTCAATGTTCAATTAAATTGGCATCGTGCATTAAGAAATAAATAAATATATGTGAATAGGAGTACATCTGTGTATAATTAAGAAAGAAGAAATTATTGAAAATCGAGAACTAAATGCTCAGTAATTGAAAGAGTAGCATCGTGAATAGTTGGAATTAAAGAAAAGAAAGAAAAGGCAGTGATTGAAGCTATTTTTAAGCATAGATATATCTAAATTTTTTATGACTTCCATAGATTCATAATTAGATCTAGTTAAATTACAAAATAGGTCTCACTGCCATTAATAAACATTTCCGATCCATCAAATTATGCTGGAAAATTAAGCGAAGAGAACTAGTTTTAGACATAAAGTAATCAGTTAACCATAAAGTGATATCTTATGTTGATCATTATATTAGTCTGTCTTCTCCTGCTATTTGTGTTAATTTTCGTAATTGATCAACTTCTGCTGCTCCGGAGATGGCTATTGTTCCTCAAAAAGAAAATAAAGTAAGCTTTAAAAATAAAATATCAAAAAAATAAGGTGCTAATTGTGAATTATAACAACATCTACAAATATACATGCCTAAATATGTGAAGTGCTAAAATAGCTTATTTTGAACAGTGCTCAGGTGTGACGTGTTTGATCATTTTCAATTTTTCATATTTTCTTGTGATATAATGAGGAATAGATGTGATCATTGACAATATGGGTGGCTCCTATATTGTCAAATGTTTTAGACACTAGTTTCTATACGAACTGTATCCTAGCTTATTTTGTGGTCGTTCTTAAATTACAACTCCTCTTCTCTTTCCTCCTTTTTACTCTTAAATTTAGACCTCAAAGGTAGACGACCCCGTGTAAGCCGTGATCATGACTATCCCCAAAATCTAAAGCCGGCAAATGACTGCATCATACGTCTTGAACACATCTTAACAAAATATCCTTATGCGCTGTTGCCTCTCATAAGCAACCTCAATCTAATTTTCATACTCATTAAACCCTACTTCCCAATAGCACTTAATATTTTCATACCAAATATCAAAGTGTGACATTTTACATGCTCAATTTTCACTTTTCCTAATGAATCACATCGCATAATGTTTGGTTCCATGGATAAAAGAGTAATGTATGATGCAATAATAAAAATTTGAAATGATGAGTGAGAAATGAGATTTCCAATCAACCGTACATGAGCAAGATCGGTGCAATTAAAAATAAAACTGACTTACAATTGCCAATAAAAATTGAAATTCATCGTTAATAAGATGATGACCAGAATTGTGCCAAGACGAATTAAATTGAATAATAAATGAGAGTGAAAGAGATATAATGGGCAGCAACAATTGCAATTTATACAAACTTTTATGGTTATGCTCAATCATTTGCATAAATATAGGCTTAACATCAGAATTAATGGATGCAATTAATCTTATTATGTGCATGAATAATTTTTTTTACGGATTCAATTATCTTATTATTCCACTAAATTGGCATATTTTTCGGTTCAACAGCAACAATACCCAACAACCTCATCATCATCATCTTGTCTATATAAAGCTTTCAATAATTTATACTTTTTCTATAGAAAATAAAGCAAAACAAAAAGAAATTGATGAAGTGAAGATGGAACATTTCTTTTGTCCTATCGCTATGGATCTATAATTGCAGTCATGCGATATTGTTACTTCCATGTGGATTGCTTGACTTATTTTTGACTTGAATCTTAAATCTGACCATCAAAAGCAAACAACGAAAAGATATCTTGCAAGACATGCTCTTAAAATTCTTCATGACAGCATCCTGCAGCACTTAAAGTCCTCAAAACACTTTAAAACTTTTAGATTCGCCACATAAAATACTCATAATTAAATTCAATTGCATGGAAGTTGATAACATTCATCCACTTATTATCCAAGCTAGCTAGCTATCTAGCTTGCCTTTTTTCAACAAACTCTTGAGTATAAAATAAGAAGGCACTTAATGATAGTGTCACATTACAATGTTTTCCCTCCTTCACGACATAGATGACAATGAAGATGAGACGAAAACTATCATGAAGATGATGAGATGAGAACATGATGATATAAAATGTGCTTTATGATGTTGATTCAACTGCTGTTTGTTGCTATTGTTGTTGTTGCAACTATATTATTATTATTTTGTTGATAAGAAGAAATGAAAATCGAAAAAGAGAGAAAAAAAAGTTTCTAAGATCCATAAAAGAGATCTTATGATAATAATTATAAACGGTTCATCATGACATGGAAATGAAAACAAATAATCAGCAAAAGAAAACAGAAAGAAATGTCTTAATGTAATGCAATCTATCATTTCAATAGAAATGAAATTATATAAATTATCGATTTGTGCCGTTTTGTTTGTTTCTATTTAAACAGACACAATTGAATATCTATTAAATTATGAAACAATTTTAGATGGAATAATAGAGAAAGAGAATGAATGAAGTCGGGACAAGAAGAAAGACAAGTTATGGCATAAATGAATGAGCTGAGAAATGAAAAGAGTCTGGGAATTTATGCACGATAAAACTTTATCTTGGATCATTTTCGTTAAGTTAGGCTTGATCGATCTTACAGACTAGTTTCATATCTTGAACATTGACTAAGTTGATCTTGAAATTTACGACAAATTGACCAAAATTTAAATCTAATACCGCACTGGAATAACTGCAAACCAAATCAATACATTTTTATCATCAAATTAAGCTTCATAAAACATTTTTCTTAATTCACACGATATTTCATATTCAATTGTTTGCTATTAATGCATCCAGTTGAAGCTGTTTATTCTTCTTAATATCTGTTTATTTGTTTCACAACAATATGTAAAATACATTATTCACACTTACTTACATGTGATTTTGCTTGGTTGTGTACAAAAATATTCCCATAACACATCATTGATTCGATGATGGATCATCGTAGGAGAAATTAAATCCACAGTTATAAGTGAAATATTGAATATTTTTTTTTATTCATGGGAAATTAAAAACATTTTCTTTTCTCGAGGCATGGAAAGAAGTAGTAAATATCATTGAACAATAGCATGAAAACATTGTCATTTGGCTACCCATGCATGCGTTTTATTGTCTCATAATGGAGTTTATTAACATAACCAATTGTTTCGTATTCAATTCATTTCATTTTTCAATTATAATGGGGGTCCTCGGTTTGAATAAATTAAACTTTCTAAAATCAATTCAAAATTTTCAAATGAAAACAACTGAATCTAAATAGAATCAACAATATCGTGATTATTTAAATCGAGGACCCCCAAGTATGTTTGAAGTATGTTTGTTCGGGAGTTAAGAAAAAGATCTTTATGGGCATAAATAACCGCAAAAGTATAATAGGAAAATGCAGTTGCAGAGTTTATAGAGAAGCATGAAGAAAGTGAAATTTAATTTAACTTGCTCTGTACACTCTGCATGTATATGGATGATAAATGGAAGGCTAAAAAGATCATAAGTGAAATTATAGTATACCTTAAACAATATCGTACACACAAAAACTTTATTATAACTAACAACAACATCATCACGTACATTAAAAGTGGCATAAAAATTCACTTTTTCTTTTTTTCTTCTCTTTTTTTTCTTTCATCTGCTTTTGATGCGCTTCCGAAAAATATAAAATAAAAATATAAAATCAATGATGATGATGTCGAACATCGTTTTGGCACAAATATGAAAAATATCTACTGCAACTACTGCATCTACTCTGTCTATAATCAACCTACAAATATGAAATAATAATAATAATTTATCAATTGCTCTTTATGTGTTCACATCAATTTATTTTCATCTCTTCCAACTATCCACCATAATAATCATCATCATCATCATCATCAATGTCACTTGCATTATTATTATTCTGTTCATTTGTCATTCGATTTGCAAAATTTGATCGTGCGTTATGTGCAATAGACTCTCAAAAAAAGTACGTCGAAAATGATGTGAATATACATTATAAAGTACCAGTTCGTTATGAGTTTAAGCATGCAATTCCGGATGATGAACTGGCGCGTCAGCAAGCAGAACATATGAAAAAAGTCTATCAAGAGGAACGCCGTAGAAAGTATTTACAAGAATTGCAAGACATGAACAACCGTAGACACACAGATAATTTTACACCATCCCAAAAGTCCCCTATTGCACTTAACCGTTATGATGATTTTGCATATAATATACCACCTCCATCAAAATCACCTGTCAATCTTCCAGGAACTGTAGCGAGGGCCCTGTATAGTTTTCAAGGACAATCCAATAGGTATGATTTCATCTTATTTTTTTCATTTTTCGTGTTCCGAGCAGCACAATAAAACTTTATGTCATAGCCAAATATCGTAGGTGAAGCTGAGTCGACATAGAATTTTTATTGCTTGTGCTGCTCGGGCCTTACCTCATAAATTTATTTTTCTTTTGTCTTATCTCACCCAAATACATCGATGCCTCTTTTGTCTTTAACCATTGTGTGTACGGAAAAATCATTCAGAGAGCTGTCATTCAAGAAAGGTGACATAATCTATATCAGACGTCAAATCGATAAGAACTGGTATGAGGGAGAACATAATGCTACGATTGGGCTATTGCCTGTTCAGTATGTAGATGTAAGAATAACATTGTGTATATAAATCATCTATTGTTGGCAATTCACATTATTGTCTTTCTCTTTAATAAAACAATAGATAATTGCTAATGATGGTTCACGTCCAACACCACCATTGCCTACAAAAAAGCCATCAGAGGGTCAAGCTAGAGCCAAATATAATTTTGTAGCACAATCAGATATTGAATTGTCATTAAACAAAGGTGAATTAGTATCGCTAACAAGGCGTGTCGATCCAAATTGGTTCGAGGGACGTATTGGAAATAGAAAAGGCATCTTTCCTGTATCCTACGTTGACGTTCTAACGGTAAGCTCTATTGTTAAATTTCTTGCTCATTATTTTGCTTGAAATGTGTCAGAATTAATTGAATATTGTGGATATCTTCGTGAGGTTGCTTCACAATCAAGATGAAATATTTTTCAATATAGACCCACCTCATGCTCAAAAATGTCTCAGTTGTAACCTCACGATGACATCTCTTTCAATTTCATTAAAAGACACAAAATTCTCTCCATCCAAAGGATATTGGAAGTGAAGATTTAGAAAATGATATTGTTACGACAACAACCACAGTAACCAAAACTTTCATACCAACCTCCTCATCGCCAATACCATATTCGAACTCAGATGTTGTTCGAGAGACAAAAACCATTAGGAAAACAGAAGTTCTGCATGTTGACACCGCAAATGAACCAATCACGTAAGAAATGAGGCAATTTGGAAAGTTAAATGCATTCATTAACAAAATGGATTGTTATTATTTATTTATAGCTACCGTGCAGTGTACAATTATCGACCTGTAAATTCTGATGAATTGGAATTAAGAGAGGGCGATCTTGTTTATGTACTTGAACAGTGCGATGATGGATGGTAGGTTGTGCAATTATAGAGCAATAACAGTAATAATTTATGAAATTCTCAATTACAGGTATGTTGGAACTAATAGTCGTACGGGCTTCTTCGGCACTTTCCCTGGAAACTATACAAAACGAGTCTATTAAATTTAATCTAATAATAAATGAAAAAAAAGTAACAGTGTCTCGTGTTCATTTTTAACTCTTGATATATATTTTAAAAAATGTTATTTTCTATATGTTTATGTTCTTGTTGATTCAAATCATATTTATACATAAATGAAGGAAGAAGTTTATTGCGAGAAAAATTGATTTTTTGACAGATTGATGATCTACGCTTGAGCAGCTTGTTGCTTGTGTGAAAATCTGGCTGATGACACGAAGATATTGGCGACACATGGCTGATTTATGTCATTTAACGGATTTTTTATTTGAATTTTTGAAATTAACCGTTACATGTCATGTGTCAGTCACTTTCCATTTGTCACACAACATAGCTGTTCAAGATTAAATCAATCAGTTGGTCGAGATTTTTGTTTTCTCTCTTAATTAATTAATTAATTTATTGCAACAGCACAATTCTCTTAAAAACAAATTTAGCAAATGGATTAAAAAAATGATGAAAAAAAAATGGAAATGCAAAAAAAGTTTACAATTTAAAATTAATGATTAATAGTAAAGATAAGAAGACATTTACCAAAATCACGTTAAAAACACCATTTAATGCAAATTTTCTTAACATTCAGTACAAACCAGGTAGAATCAAAAAACAAAAAAATGAAGTAAAAAAAGGATGGAACTAGAAGTCGTTGCAAAGAATGTCATTGTTAAATTTATTATAAAGATAATTATTAATAATAGCGAGATTATTAATTCATAACTTATGAAATGGTAAGAATGAAAAATTTGTAAGAAATAGCCAAAAATGAGAAAAAAATTTTTTGAAGAAAAAGCTTTTACGGATATAAGTTGGGTCGTTCAGGAATATCTCCCTTAAATTTCTTATACCTGAAATCCTTAAAAATCAGTAGAACGACCCTGAAAAATAAAAAGATGAAAGTGTGCTTTACAAAGATGAATGTCCTCCTATAAGAAATGAATTTTTGTGCCTATAAACCAAGTTAAGGAAGAGAAATTGAAACAAAAAAAAAATGCCTAATAAGAAGAAAAATTTTTTTATATAAAATAATTCACAAATAGATTTATATGCAATTTACCTAGTCATTTTATTCGTTCCCGATCTATCTACATCCATAAATTTATTATGAAGATCCATTCGATATTTTTCAATTGGAATTTTTAGTTCGATTCATAAAGGAACAGTTTAAATGTAATCAGATCTTAATGAAAACAAATTTTAGTGCCTTTCAACTCTAGATTGATACATAAAGAAGTTGTAATTCATCCTTGCCTTGTCAATGAGAAAGAAAGAAAAAAGTATTCAAACGTTTATGAAAAGTAAAAATATTATTAACGACTAAAGCGGCGTCTCACTTTTACGTTTTTTTTTATTGCTATCTTTTACTGAACATCTTTTTCTGTTAACTGATACTAAAAAAATCCACAATTGAAATCAAATAAAGATAACCAGAAAGAAAAAAAAATAATATCTGCTATGAGTACCGTATTTCTTATGTTATGAAATTAATTATTTTCAGATTGATTGCTTTTTGGGAGAGAAAGGCAGTAATTTTTGTGAAAACTACATCATCAGATTTATTACTTAAGCTTATGTTTTCAGGCTGGTAAGCTTCTGATCAGAGCTGCGAAACAGGCACCTGTGACAGGTGAGAACCCTACAATTCCTTGATAATTTATAAGGTTTTTCTAACAAAACCATACAAATTATCAAGGAATTGAAAGGTTCTCACCTGTCACAGGTGACCTGTTTCGCAACTCTGCTTCTGATGCTTTTTGTATTGATGAGCAGACAGATCAAGGATAAGGTTGAAGTATCCATCAAAAAGTTTAATTTTAGTCCCTCGAATGATAAACTTCGTTCACTTATGACATCTAAGAGGGTGGGGGGGGGGAATTAGAAAATCCCGAAAATCGATTGTTCTTTTTTGATTCCCATAAGTAAATGATACCATAGACAAGTTCAACTTGAATGCAACTTAAATCCCTACAGAGAGTAATTTAGCTTTTATATGTATGATGCTAGTGTAAGTGAGATATCAGCTCATAGAAGTCATGTTGCTTGATAGTGAAGTATTAAGTAGGAAAACTCTTTCTAAGGCTAATATTACAATGAAACCATCAATCAATGAAAATATAACAACCATAAAACTTTTAACGACATTCCGATCCGGAAAATGAGATAATCAATATATCCGTTGTTACTTTATGTATGTTATGCATAATAAGAATCGATTTTTCTAGTTTATTCTATTTTATCATTTTCTAGGTATTTTTGTGACCTTTTATTTGAATTTGATTACTAATAAAATGTAGCTAGTTTTGGTAATAAATGAGTCAGTGATAATTTTGTTGAAAATTTCAGCTTTTTCGTCAGAAATGTAAAACAGATTTAAAATAATCCACGAATTCCAACAGCGTATTAGCAAATTTCTACGAATACTTACCAGATGATTTATTTATGATTTATGATTCATTCGACTGAAATTCGCAATATGTAAATTTGAAAATCGAAATTTTTTGATGTCAAACTGACCACTCTTATTAAGTTATTAATCCATAAACCAAAAGAGCAAGCTATAAGTAAAATAAATCATTAAAGTTGCTTAAGTATGAAAAAACTTTCTCTCGTTGTTCCTCGTGAAATTAAATAAATTTATTACATTAAGTAAAATTATAAAACATTAATGCCCTCCAACCATAAGATCTGATTTGAAATTAATACTTTTGCATTTATAATTAAATTTTATAATGTATGTACGGATAGTTTAAAACCAATAACAGACATAAGCCAAATGCACCTAGATATATTTATTTTTATAGAATTGACGAGATTCGATTTGATCGTGAATTGCTTGATGATTTAAACAATATAATATGCTCTCGACCTTCATGATGTCATTCAACAATTGATGGACCGTCACCGACTTTTGTATGGATTATGTATTTCAATGAATTTTTAGCGTATGGTATATACTGACTAAAATCATTTTCCTGCAAAATAATTAAACAAATAATCAAAATACTGTTTTTTGTATACATGAACTGAACTGTTTATAGCTTCTTACCTCATTCTCCAATTCAACTGGAGTTCCACGTATATACTCAACAGATTCCTGATTATCATTTGGAAATACATGATTTATGAATGAAAGCACACGTTTCACGTACTTTTCAGGTAGATAAAGGCATGCATTTGGACCAGCATCGAATGTATAAGCAACTTTTGTTTCACCTGCATTTAAATATTCTTAATTAATGCATGATTCCATTAAATTTTTTAGATCATATTACCTTCATTCTTGTTGAATTCATGGATATAGCTAACAATAGCATGTGAGACATCATTCATATAAACGCAAGGTGGGAAAGTATCTAAGCAAATTGCATGGAACTGATTCGAATCTCTCATAGTAAGCTCTGCAAACTTAGGAAAATCTCGATCCTTAATAGCCTGAGTAATTGAATGAATTCGTTGTGGTACGCACTTTTCGACACGATATTTAATCAATTCTGATGTGACGACACTTCGTGCCATTCCTGAGGTTGAACCGACTTTCTTCTTACTATCATTAACAACAAGAATCAATACATTAAGATCTGGCCAATGAGAAGCAGGTGCTATTTGAACAGCCATAGAGTCATTTCCATCTAATTCTACACCTTTTTGCCATTGCACAAATCCTCCATAAATGCTGCGACAAGCTGAACCTGATCCCATTCTTGCAATATCAGATATTTCTTGCTTTTTCAAGCTATAAAGTTGTGCCATGCCGTAAACAAGGCATGCATATCCAGAAGCTGAACTGGCTAATCCAGCAGCAGTTGGGAAATTATTCTCTGAATCAACATGTATCTTACAATCTAATAACTCCTTAGGACAAGATTCTGCCTCTAATGCACGCTGCTTAATCATCTCAAAACATCGCAAAATTCGTTCATTCTCAAAGTTCTCTTCCTTTCCATTCAAAATGATCTGATTGCTCTCATATGACGGATCAGCACTTATAGTCGTTTTACTGCACAACTAAAAACGTGATGATGATCATGATCAGTGAGTGAATGATGAATATATGAATATATGTAAATTTACATGTATGTGATGAGGAAGCGAAGATTAAGGAAAGAAAAGAATGTCAATGATTTTTATACTTACGTCAGCAGTCGAAAGAGTTACAGATAAAGAATCATTGATTGGCAATATTAATGACTCATTTCGCTTTCCCCCTTATAGAAAGAGAGTCTAATTAATAAATTGGATGTGATTAAAAGATCAGAAATTACTTACAGTACTTAATAACAGCAATATTTACGGGAGCAATAACAGTAACTGAATTTTGCATGTTTAATCGGTAACAAGATATATTCAACAAAATAAGCGACACTCGAGACTTTAATTAAATTAAGGAGTACTTGAGGATGAACTTTAATTAAGTTTTAGATGAACAAAAAATTAGAAAGCAAAAAATTGAATGTAAATAAGCTTTTTCTGTGTTATCAACAGGGGAATGATTATTTAACTGAAATGGCTTGTTCTCTGCTACTTCTTTTTGCTATACTTGTGAAGCTTTAGCCTTTATTTAATTAAATTATTGCACAAATCGACTCTTTCACTCAAACTTTAAAATTAAAAGAAATTTCTAAAGGAATGTCAACAAAACATAACGGTAATTTCGACAAAAATTTGAATTTTTGAATGTTTATAACTGCTTTTTTAATTATTTATGAATTTTACAGCATTTCTAACATAAACTAGTGATATTAATAAGTTTTTAATTGATAATTTTGATTATTAAATCATTACAGCATGACCACGTGGCTTGTTATGCTGTAAATAGAGAAAAATAATTTGGATGGCATTTTCGACATGTGGAGTTTAACGGTTTTTTCAAAGCGAGCGTTATGAAAAAGGTGGGGAAATTATACAGGCTTTTAAAACTTAATTAACACCTTTAATACAGTTCATTAAAGCATCAGTACAATATAAAGTACTCAATTTTAAATTCTTTATCCATCAAACTAATCATCATGTATCAATATTACGTAATTACATGATATTCAGGCACTAAAGCGGTTATTGGAGTGTTTTGTATTTTCCCGAAAAGCAAAATAACGAATAACCGTTATTACGAATTACAAATTTACGAATGTTCATTTTTACGAAAATTTTTATGGTAAAAACTTATAGGATATAATTTGAATCTCAAAAAACCGTTGATTAAATCAAACATTAAAAGACAATTTACATCAATTTCATCATTTAAATGCGAATAGATATGATATAATAATTATTATAAGATGAAGGATTAATAGAACTACAAAAAGAATTGCATTTATTTAAATGTGTAATATTTTTTCTTGTTTTATGGGTAATTCCATGAGAAAATTTTATAGCAAAATAAAATTTTTATAGAAAAAATATTTCACATTTAAATAAATGCAAATCTTTTTTTCAGTTCTATTAATCCTTCATCTTTTAATAATTATTTTATCATATCTAATCGCATTTAAATGATTAAATTACTTTTAACTGTCTCAATATTTGATTTTATCAAACGGTTTTTTGAGATTCAAATTGTATCCTATAAGTTTTTACCATAAAAATTTTCGTAAAAATGAACATTCGTAAATTTGAAAATTCGTAAAAATTGTTATTCGTTATTTTGCTTTTCGGGAAAATACAAAACACTCCGGTTATTGTTATATCTTCTCCTTCATTTCCCCTTAAATTGCTGATTTTAAGAACTGAGCAATAGGGTGTCACCCAATGAAGGTGCTCTGTATAAATTTTATTAATTACAGCCTCATAATTGAATAGAAATCATCCGGTAATCCATTAACAAACCATTAATGATGATCTAGAACCTACACATTAGCAAAGATAAGCATCAACGTATTTTTAAAATTTAAAAATTGAAGTTAAGTGACGCGAATTAGACGAACTGGATTCCGTGAGAAAAGTATATAGTCGCAAAGTGTAAATAATTTTTATTCCTCAACATTTAATTCATTATCAACTGCTCCACGTTCTAGATATCATAAGTTAAAGTATATTCAATTGCGTGCGTGATAAAAATATATTCAAAGTAATCGGGAAGTTAAAAAAATGAGGAATTTAAGTGAAAGAAAAAGATTTTCATAATTTTTTTTTAAGAATCAAAGATTTAAGTTAATTAAAGCAAAGCAACAAAATTAATAAATTAATCTATAGTTGGATGGTGCAATTAAAGTTTAAAAAAGTCAAATGACAAAATGATCAAAAGATAAAAATAGCAAGAAAATTAAAGATAAAGAAAAGTGTGAAAATCGAGCAGAAAATTGAAAGTTTCGTGAAATTCCACGAAAATAATGAAAATTATTTTCCTAAAATGTCATTTTCCATTTATATTTATGGTTTTGCAATAGCTTTATTCATCTTTTATTGTGGAAATCTGCTTCTACATATATTTGGAATTACTTACGGGTAAGTCATAAGACATAGCATAATATATTTTTTGCGCAAAGAGAACTTCCTTTATCGATCTCTCAAGCCACAAATGACTTTTTTCACATTTTATTATATTTTTTGTGAACGAACGACGTGAAGAAGAGGAAAATTTCTTTTTTTTTTGCTACACAAAAATGCCCACCGCCCAAAAAATTTAAGCATGTAAAGGCAAGCATTCAATAAAAGTGAGAATATATATAAATTTTACTATCGAAAAATATGTGTGTGAAACGCCTTACTCAAGGTGCTTTATTCTAATGTGTTGGCGTAACTTCTATAGCAGAAAGAGCAGCTTACAGAGTAAATAAATAAAAGATTCTCATCGTATGTTGTGCGGCTGCTATGGGCATTTAAACTAGTTTTAATAATATTAGTGGGAATGTAACGAAGTCTATATCATGATTAGAAATACCCTTATTTCTCTCTGTCTCTCTCTCGTTAGGATTGCGTGATTAATTTTGCTACTGTAAAAAAAAAGCCGTCATCAAAAACCAATCCTTCTTTTCTCCTCTATATAACAACCATCAAAAATATGTGTAGAATGAGGGAGCATAGAAGTAAGAACGGCGCTTGTTTGATAGATTCTTTTTTTCTGTGCCTGTGAACTTCTTTGAATCAAAAAAAAAATCGCGCCATAGCATATCTTTATAATTATTCATCATGTATTTACCCAGCTTACGTAGTAGAAAATTGACTTTTGAACACTGCTTGATGTTTACGCTAAATATAAAAATGATTCATTCTGTCTCTCTTTCTCGTTTTAAGTTTGTTAATGACATTGAGAGTCACAGTTTCATTTTTTTTCGTCATCAAAATCGCATCATATTATCAATAAATGAATTATTCAAAGAAAATAAAAAATCATTCAGTCATTCAGTGCTGACTCTCACTCTATGACTTGTGCAAAGTCGCAAAATAAAACTATTTGCTACGGAATTCTTCTTTGCGTTTTCAGCGAAATAAAAAATGAATAAATTCGATTCAATATATATATTTTTTTATGGTGAATTGGCATCAAGGTGTTTTGTTACAAAGCGTTTCATTCTTATAAGAACTAAAATTGAATTTGTCGGTTACGCGTGATTTTCAAACGTCTCTAATTCTTTGCGAGCATTTGAGAATTATTAGAACTTCTATGCTTAATGTTACTTACATAGCTTGTATTTACCATTCACACATTTCATTAATTATTTAAATATAAAAACCAAGTTTTTCGCAGGCAAACATACAAAGTGCTGGCACATATGGATGAACATGTTATATTCAGTAAATTCTTCAACTAAACATTTATAGTCATACATTCATTTCCATGACAAAGTTATCTAACTCCATCTTATCTAAAGCTTTAGTTTGCCTTTCAATTTAACACATTTACTCATATTTTCTTCTTCTTTTTAATGGAAATGCGCAAACTTTACAATTGTAGATGGAATTTATCGCGTCGTATGTTAATTGAATGTAAATATCCGTTGCCGAAAACAAAAAAATTACAATTATCGTGCATTGTCTCGTCTTGTTATTATTGTTACTTTTATTTTGGAAATTTTCTCTTTACGCGTTTAGCTTCGCTTCTTCTTTTCCTGTTTTTGTAAAATAAAATAAAAAAAAATTTCATATTTTAGTTGCGATTTTTAAATTATTTAATTGGGTTTCATGTTCATTATTATTTTTGGATAGATAGCTACGTTTGTGCGTCTGACTGTCTAGTTTATAGAGCCCGTTAAAAAAGATAAAACATTGAATGATGACAATTTGATAAGTCAAAGCACCCGAAAAGGCCTACTAATTTGGCTGATAAGAAACATATTAGACTAGCTGGATTGTTTATTGTCTGAATCAATGAATAATGCCTACAGACAGCACGTGTAGCATTTTCTCTGTCGTATGTTAAGGCTAGCGAGACCATTTGTGTGCATAATTACTAGCGTCAATGCTAATTTGTATTTGATGGAAGTTCTCCTCAACTTTAAAAGCTAAATATTTGGTTACTTTTAAGATTCTTTGTACATGATTCATAGTCATTATCGGTAAATGAATATTTTTATTCAGTCTGTCTGTTTCGTCATGTTCCTGTGATGTCGTAACCGTCCGAGAAATGAGCAGATAAGAAATGACAATCAAATGATTTCACGTGATTGACTTGTAGCTCCGTTTTATAACATAAAATGTTTCATGTGAAGTTTAGAAATGTTGTTATGAAAGCTTGAAGATAATATAAATGAAGCTTAATATTGCTGTGATAGTTGCAGGAAATTTGCATTTCCGAAGGTCGTTTCTCTTCTATTTATCGGAACTTGATGGGGATTCCCGACAGAGTTTATTTCCTCGAAAACCTTCAAGTCTTTTCGAATTCGATTGAATTTGCAAGGAACTATTTACTAAATTCAAGAATTGTTTATAGATTCAAGTTCTTGAAAAATCGTCAAAATCCAATTTCCTATTAATTAGTCAAAATAATTTGCACCTTTAATTGTTTCACAATGAAACAGGTTGGTTAAGGCAATGAAACTGCGCCCATGTCATCCACCTTAATGACTTACAAGTTGTTTTAAAAAAATAAACATTTTTGTTCGCTGTCACATGAACCATTACTTAGCATTACTTGATATTACTTCATGGAATGATGATCGCAACAGAAAGTCAAATACTTGACTTTTGAACGAGTTCATAGATAAAGAGTTTTGTTGCTTTTCCTCACATATACTATAATTTATAAATGCGCGATAATTTCTTTTCTCTTATCATGCTCAAATATGGACAGCTACACTTCAACCATAATAATAAATATTTAATTCATATTTATTTGTTTTTTTTTTTGTAAGTCCATTAAAAAATGAAATGTTTAGCAAATTTAAATTGAATTGACATTGATAAATTAACACAGATTGAAGATGTTTATATTGGCAAGCCAAATTCTTGTTAGATTATTTTATTAGTCTAAATTAAGTTTAGGAATATTTTTGATAAAGTCGTGTTAAAAGGCAATTATCTTAATTAAGATTCGAAAAGATCGTGATTTCTAGAAATTGATAAATTGTATATTACTCCATTTAATGACTATTGATGTAAATTATAGTAATGGAACTAGCTTTCATATTTAATTTTCAATATTGTTAACAACTAATTCTCGAATCTAGATCTGCGATCACACTCGTCATCTAAATTTCTTGGCACCTAATCACTCTAGTCTTTTTGTCTAGACAACAGTTTTCAGTAGCGTCAGTAGAATTAACCCCAAAATGCAACACGTCACTAATGAACGACCCTTTGAGAAATTTAATCTAATTATAAATATTTACCAATATTATAATAACATATTAAATAATTCATTTATGTAAAAGGCTATATTGTTTCCATTCAGACACGTTCAATCATCATAATATTTACATTATTTTCCTTATTTATATAAACTGGCAAAAAAGAAAAGAATGAAAAAGGTTGTTGAACATTAAGTATGCTTAAAGCCCATAGAATCCTTTTATAGAAGAATGAGAGAAAGAGAAGAAGAAAAAAAAATTTGAAGTATGATTTGAGGAAACAAGTTGACGGCAACGAAAAGGAAATTCGAGCTATTTATGGAATATAGGCTCATAAAATTGTGTGTCGAAAGAATTTTAAATGGCGAAAACAATAAAGTAAAATGTGATAAATTCCATGTTCGAACTAGAAACTCAAGTAAATATTTAAATTGATAAGTTAAGTCAACGGAGCTTTATGTGGAGCAAATTAATTACTTTTTGCAACACTCCCAAGTATTAATAAGATGATCAGCTACATAACTTGTTTTGTATAATCCTGAATTACTCGTAATAAGTGACCATACTCTTGTGTCACAGATTTTACAGTCATAATAATTAGTGACGAATTTGACAACAGATCTCCCTGACCGAATAAAACATGAGCAAACACAAATTATCTTGAGAAAGACTCTGTAAGAGAATATTCGAATATTCTATTTGTAGAGTGAATTTGTTCAGCTTGTTGCTGAGTTCCGCTATCGAATGATGCGTGTCTCATCATTTGTTTTTGAAAAAACATTCGCCTACATTTGTCAATTAATTTATATTGTTATTAAATTCTCAACTGTCATATCTCCTTGCGTAACGCATACCTTGGAGATCATTTTAGTTTTATTGCTGTACGATGTTCATTTTACATTCTCAAAAGTAGAGAATTTGATGCTTAATCTTGATTTTGTTTAATTAAATACTGGTCTTTTGATTTCAAGTCACATGCTCTTATCACAAAGGGTTTGGGAAATTGCGGTCATGATACTAAATTGAACTGACATTATCATTCTTGTCATTAATGCTGGAATTAGATTTTGAATTTTGGAATTGGCAGATAAATTCGATCGAAAATTGTCAGGAACAGAATGTTTCTAGAATATTCATGAATTTCTAATCCCCATAAAGTCAGTAACATCTCGGAAGTCTATAAAGTAATCAACACAAATAGATTAGTTGCTATGTGAATTCCATCCATTTCCATAATTAATGTTAATTTAAAGTCGTAAATATTCAAATCAAGCTACGAAGCAAGTAACATGAACTGTTTGTCATTGCATTCTCATCACATTTTTTAAATCGAACCGGCAAAATGAAAGTGGACTTTGGCATCCACGTGCTTCCTTATATTAATCTATTGCTTTGTAGTATCAATTGTCTAAATATAGAAAGTGTATCTTACGAATGAAATTGGATCAAGAGCTTCTTGTCAACAAATTATTTAAATACCTAAAATGCAAGTCGTGTAAATAAGAACCGAATAGTCGATGAATGAATAAAAATTGCTGATTAAGCTTCATAAATCAATCTATGATTAATGAAATCAAATTAAACAAGTTAATTTAATAAGTCGAAATAAAATAGGAATTTTAGTTCATGCAAGGTCAATTTCTTTTGACTTAATCTGATTGTTTGAAGCTCAATAGTAAATCAGAATTAAGTTTCATTTGCTTTCTTTCTGTGTTTTTCTTTTTTTTTTATTTATTCAATGAACACAATAAATAAAATGAAGAAGAAGAAAAGACCACAAAAAAATTATCGTAAATATTTTATTATGTCCATTGTACGGAGCATGTAAGTTCCCAAAAAAAAAACTAAACTCTATCGTAGTTTGTAATAATTTATGTGATGTTTGAGTTGGGGAATTCGACTATTTTCGTGCTTAGTTTATGTTATGAATGGAATACAATGTCCATACTAAATGAATCCACACATTTTTGTCTTTTCTATCTTTTATTAGATTAACTAGATAAATTCTCCATTCATGTCACAATACATTCCCTTACTCTCTCGATTATTGAATCACATACAATATAGTCGCACTTACTAATGGTCCATTAATGTGATAAAATTTATTACAATTTAAATCCATCTCTAATGTTGTGCATATATACATACAATAACAATGATATTTGGCCCGCATGTATGCACGGCATTAATAATTTAATTTAATCATCATCACATCGTCGTGACAAATTCGTGTGTGCTATGGGAATTTTCATCGTCAAATTAACTTACATTTAATCAGAATTATTAAGTTCCTAAACAACTGAAATATATTAATAAAATGATAAATTGCATTATGCTCGCGACATGAATTGTAATTGATTACTGGAATGGGAGAAAGTCAATCACTATATGGAATTGATAATGATATTTGTTTTTAGTGCTTTATCATAATCAGCGTGCACTCGAATACTCAATTAAATTGTCAAGATAACGTGCGTGAATCAAGTATCGTTCGGTTATGATTTTTTACTACCACCTCACATCATCACTGATAAAAAAAATTACTGTCACATTTGTACTAGCGTCATTACTCGTTAAGGAACTTAAATGTATTAAATTTATCGGTGAGGAAATGAAGTTTCTTCGTAAAAATTTATGCCTTTGTTACTCAATTTGTTGATAAAAACTGCTTATAAAAGAGTCAGTGAATGACTCACTCAGCTCTTTGTATTCTCAGTCATCAAATGCTTATTGAACAGCTCATTTCATGACGAAATTCTTTAATTTGCTAAAATTCGTATTACGAAAGTTATTTTGGTTATAAACATTTCTGAAGAATATTATGCAGCAAGCAGTCAGTGGCTAGTATGAAACTTATTGCAATAAATAATAACACATCAAACTACACAGGTCATGATCAATATAAAATTAAATATCATTTTAATTACTGGAATTTTTATATTTTCTGAATGTCTATAAATGATAGTTTTGCTTTGAATAACAAGTTATGCACAAATATTCCTACATACTGTGTTGTGCAACAATTGAGAGTAAATCTCGTATATATTTTCCCGCTGAATATCGATTGATTGATGCTTCTCAGAGATTGTTGAGGGATTCATTCATTTTGAATATTGAGAACTTAGATGCGGATTCAATCAAAAGAGAGACTTCAGGCATTTTTTCTCGAGGGGAACTGGACACCCTCTCACAAATCCCTTGGCATGTTAGTCAATTTCTATTGTCATTAAAATATTATTTAATTCAAAAATAAATTCGTTCTAGATGTGACTAGACATGACCTCTTCAAGGTTACGTTCAATTTAAAATCTTATCCGAATTTTAAAATTCTGGACGAATAAGCGTCAATAAGCGAGTTCAGCGAATTACTCATTCATAATCATTTTGTTTTGCAAAAAAGCTGTACAAAGTCAGCACGAGTAAGTAATACTTACAAAAATTGCGTCTGTTTGGGAAGATTTTTATTGATTGATGCGGACGCAACGATAATGACCATGACTTTATGCTTGTAAATATTTGGTTTTATAATTTTTTAATAGGCATAAGTTAAATAATTAAAATATAATTGACCAGATGTAAAGAAAGGCAAGCAAGTCATGAATAGGAATTGAAATTTGGCAAATAATGGTTATTTCGTAGTCACGACGTGCAAAGGAAGTAACTCAAAAGTCATTTGTCTATAAACCCCATTTTAAATTTCCCTGAACAAGTTCAAAACCACATATGAAAGAACATTGTAAGAAATTATATATACACGAAGCACATTCATTGTATATAAGTACGAATCGTGATATTGAACGCTTCTCTAATTGTCATTAATGACTGTCATTCGGTCGGGTGTTATCTAACAAAATTTTAATGCTTTTTTTATTTTATTTTTCTCGTTATAGCAAAATCAAATTGCACAAGAAACCATGTCTACTGCCACGGGAATCACCGCTACCCTCCGTTTCGATATTGAAGCCATTGATGGGTGTCGATCCGAATTTATCACCGAATCTTGAAACATTTTTTACTATGCAATATCCATCCTATGAGCTATTATTTTGTATAGAAGATAAGGAAGATCCAGCTGTGGCAGTAGTTAATAATTTAATAGATAAATATCCAAAAGTAAATGCTCATTTATATCTTGGTGGATCAAAAGTTGGAGTTAATCCTAAAATTAATAACTTAAATGCTGGTTATGTACATGCAAAAAGTGATTTTGTCATGATATCCGATAGTGGAATAAGAATGAAAGAAGATACTCTACTCGATATGGTTCAACATATGAAAGATGGAATTGCCTTAGTCCATCAATTGCCATTCACATGTGATCGTGAAGGATTTGCTGCAACATTCGAGAAAATTTATTTTGGCACATACCAAGCACGTATGTATCTCACGGCTGATCTCTTCGGTGCCATTTGTCATACAGGAATGTCATCATTAATTCGTCGTGATGTATTGGAGGAAGTTGGTGGTTTACAGGCATTTGGCTGTTATCTTGCAGAGGATTTCTTCCTAGCCAAATCAATAAGTGAAGCGGGATGGAAGTCCGCTGTTAGTAGTCAACCTGCATGGCAAAATTCAGGCATATGCGATGTTACAAGCTTTCAATTACGTCTCACGCGATGGGCGAAATTACGGGTCGCAATGGTGCCGCATTTAATAATTCTTGAACCGCTTAGGTATGTGTATACTTACTCGTACGCTTTCCTGTTTCCTTATGCAATGCATTTCATGCAATTTTCTCTAATTATTTTTATTATTATTATCATTTAAGTAGTAAAAATAATTATTACATAAGCTCTAATGTTAGCATGTCACTCTGTTTTACTCTACAACTCTCTATTTATTTATTTTCAGTGAATGTATGGTACTAGGCTGTTTGGCATCATGGGCAGTAAATGTGCTTTTTCAATGGGATGCCTTACCATTCTACTTAGTACATATTTTAGTATGGTTTCTATCTGACTGGATTATGCTTTCAGTGGTACAGGTACGTGTTTATATAATGCTTTGATATGTATACATGATAATGACATTGAAATTTTTCCATCGATTTGTTTTTCTCTTGACCTTGTCGGAATTTTTGTGTGTGTCTTACTAAGGTAGGCAAACTTTGAAGGACTTTTTGAAACAGTTTTGAGGATATTATTGTTTCGTTCCTTATTTAAAAAATAAATGACAGTAACAGAACAATAAACAAAGATTTTGTTTTTTATGTCAGGATTTGAAACTCAGAATCTTTAAATTAGGCTAATTAAGCTATCAAGCTTAATGTGGCTTTTGTTGACAAAAACTGTTCTTATATGACCATATGTCAAAATAAAGAAAACTATTCTCAAATACTTTAAAGTTGCCGTACCTTGAATTTCCTTTATACAAAAATAAAACCTGTAAACTGATTTAATGAATTTTTTATCTCTTCTTTATTCTCTTTCCCGTTCGTGTAATACTTTAAGAATGGACCATTGCCATTTAATAAATTCAATTTTGTCGTCGGATGGTTGTTCCGCGAGTTTACTGGACCATACCTTTTTGCATGTGCATTATTCAATCCAGCAATCAGATGGCGAGAAAGGACATTTAAACTACATTGGGGTGGTATAGCATATGAGACGAAATCGAGGATAAAATCATAGCGAATATTTAATATACACACAGTTAATTTAAATAATTAAATTAATGTAGGGGAGGGAAAAATTCTTACTTTGTCATTTTAATTAATTTATAACCTGTAAAAAAAATCTTGCATGATCATTTATGTTTTCCTTTCATCATTTATTTTTTATACTGTATTAGGTAAAATGTCTAAAAAAATTCTCTTAAAATTGAAAGTTTGTTTTCGTAATTTTTTTATAAAAAATGATTTTTTGTTGAAATTTTTTGAAAGTGGAAGCGGTAAATTGAAAATAATCAGAAAATGATATTATTTTCACACACACATACACACAAAAAGTGGTTAAATAGAAAAGTAAAAGACAATGGACCGTGAAACCTCTTGTTTTAAAGAGGACCAACTAGATGATATAGGAGAAGTTCATCGAAGTGTTTTTGTGAAACTTTTTCAAAAGTAAAAAAATGGGAACATAAATATTTATTTAAAAAAATATTAATTATTAAATTAATAAAAAAAAACCATTAATTGATAAAAATGATGCAACATGTTAAAACTCATTTGTAAGATCTGTAAAAACATTGTTGAAAATGTTGTATAAGTAAGTACAGCGCATTTCTGCAGGCTCAATCAGTAAATCGATAACTTTTGGATATCTGAATATTTACCTTTTTCTATATTTAATATCGAGGCAATAAAAATTCAGAATAACTGTTTCTCATTCCGATTATCATTTTTATTTTTATTCTATTCGTAAAGCAGTTTATGCAAATCATTTGCAAACCTTACTAAAGGAATGTGTTCATAGACATCTTTTTAGTAACATAACATAAACATTAAAGAACAGGTTTTGTGCTTTAAATTTTGAAGATCCGAGAATCTTCCGATACGTAGCTCAAAGTCATCCAGCTAGCTCCAAAAAGTGAACTCTGAACGAGCGTTTAAATGCGCAGAAAAAGAAGTTAATTGATCAGTACTAATTAAAGTCGAACACCAAAAATTAATTGTTATATAAAAAATAAAATTAATAATAATGATAATTGAAGAACAAAGAAAACATTCATGTGTAGATATTAGTGTATATGCTTCATCATTTATACCATTTTTCCATATTACGGCTCATTTTCTAAATTAGAACACAAAAAGTAAATTTAAAAAAAATGTTTCAATCGAGTTGAGTAGCAGCATGCAAATACATTGTTAATACATAAAACATACATTGGGATATACATAATTCTAAAAGAAAGTAATAATTAAGTTGAAACCAACATCCAAGCTTTGCTATTAGATTTGATTGCATAACGTAGCCAATTTTCATTCACACGAAAAAGCAGCTCGCGATATAAAACATTGGGTAGTTCATAAGTATGAGGTCTATTAAAAATCGAGATTTTCAGACCCCCTCTCCCCATTCTTGTCAAATGAATAATGACTTCTCCTTTAAAAAATAGACGTCACAAATGAATGACCCTATGCTGTGCGATGATTATTATTTTCTATATGAACGAGAGCTGACCTTTTACATTACTCGAGGTTATTTGATGAATAATTAAAATGGTCACGTTGCGACAGTTTTTTAACAACCATATAAAAATTTAAAAGAATTAAGGAACAAAAATTTTATTTATAAATATTTCTTTCCGATTTAAATTAATTCTGCGAAATTATTAATGATGCTTATGGAATTGCAGTTTGTACGAATTTGCTCCCGTAAGGTTAATAAACAATAAATGAATTTTTACAATTTTTGTCTACAAATAAAATAAATAAAAATAGATAAAGAACTTCTCTGAATCGAGCTTTAAAAGAATTAAAGAGAACCTTCACAACTTCATGCAAATACGCTTCGGTGAATTAAGAAAATATTGCTTAGAGTTTGATAAAGATTTTTAAGAATCGTCCGATATAATTTTTGTGCTTTTTAATATCATTCAAATATTTATAGGAATTAAACAATTTTCATAATTTTCCATGTTCAGTTTTTTTCCTCATACTTTAATTTATTTTTTTTTAACTCATTCTTTTAAATTGAAAAGAATCTATTTATTATCTCTACTATAAAAATATCTCCATTTCCTAGCGCCATCATAATATATAAAATTTTTGTATTGTAGCTAACTGCATTACATTTGATTTGAACATTCGAAAGTGTGAAAAGTAGTCATCACAAATGAATTCCAGCTCAGCGCATTACTGGTTGTTGATCTAGTTAAGCTAAGTTCAAGGAGAGTCACTAATAAACTAGATTTAGACTTTGAATAGCTTTTAATCGAAATTAATATTTTTGATGTACCTGAAATCCAAATCTGACTTTGACAGAGTTACTGCTGACAGTTTTTAGACATTTGCCGCGGCCACTCAGTCATAGACATCAGATAAACATCGATTATAGCTCTTAGAATTCGCCTGACTAACGCTAAAACTCACTTGAGTTTGAAGAACTTCCGTGGTATCTGCAAGGTTGTTTCTGTTTATATTCAGTAAGTTGAAGATTATATAATCTTGATCATTAAAAAGTGTAAATAAAGATAACCTTGATAACATGTATCTAGTCTATTATTATGCTTCCCGTTCTCAAATATTCTTTATAGACTCATAGAATTTATGATTCATAAATTTTATTTGTAGCTTACTTTTGTAGAAATTTGACACTTGAAATGTGAGAAAAGTATATTTTTGAAGCTCTATCACAGAGTTAAGTAATACTTTATGGATTATTTTGTCGAAATTGAATCATAGACTAGAAAACGTTCGAAAAATTCCCTTAATACCAGAAAATGCGCTGAGAACCATGATAAGATTGATAAAAGAAAGTAATGAAAAAAATAAAATAATATAAAATGATTACAAAGGAAGAAGACGATTATGATACATTCATATGTGGCGCTATAAAACAAACTACATGATTGCCAAATGATTTATGACATAAGGTTTTTATATATTGTATGCATAAAAAGAAGAAAATAAAAAATGTGAAAAATGCTTGAGATTGAATGCGAGTGAAAAAAAAAACCGATACATTAATGTCCTTCCTCATTCGTGGATATACAAAAATAAAAAAAAATAGAAAATAAATTTTTGACAAGAAGATTAAATAATTTTTAAAGAAAAGCGATACAAAAAAAAATCATAAAAATAAGAAGTTAAAGAAAAATTCAATAGACGAACAAGATTAATAAGAATAACTTGTACATTTTTTTGTACTTATCATCATCATCCAAAAAAAGAACTCTGTAGGACATAATTTATAATTTTTAAAAACATTAAAATTAAAAAAATAATAAAAAATGGAAAATTTGAAAAATCAAAAAAAAATGTTTTTATTCTCCTATTTCAGTTACCTATATAGCTTACCTAGGACATACTTATACTCAACCAAAAAATATAAAAACCTTAAATTCTCGTAACGTTTTATTTTTATTTGAATTTACACTGAGCGAAACGAGAATGAGGCATCTCCATACAATACACAACTTACCGTCCTATTTCAATTTCCATGAATTCCATCACACAATTATTTGGTAGACAGCAGTAGAATTATTTTGTAGAAAACTCAATTTTATCAAATAGTCATTAAATAGGTCATTTTTGTTTGTTTAAAGGAATCAAAAGTTGATATTTTAGTAAATGAGATGCTGTTCAATTGAAATTATGTGAAGTAAGCGTGCACAAATATTGGAAATAGCTAAAAACGATGACAGATGAAAAATAAGTTTTTGTAGTCGCGCAAAAAAAAGATGGATGAAAAACAAAATTTACCAGATCTGTATGAATTTCTGGTCGAAGCCGAACTTCAGCAATATTATACAAGCTTAAAGTAAGTAATAAATTATAGTGAAGTTGAAAAATGAGAGATTTTTACCTTAAAATATGAATCTGCAATGTCTCATTGAGCGACGATAGAATGAGGAAAAAAAGTTCAATGAAACATGAGCGGAACATTTAAAAATCACAACAACAACGTAATTGTAAAATGAGAACATTCTTAAGAATCTAAAAATAATCTCATTTCCAGAAATGAGCTAAAAATAACTGCCATTCATCAAATTAAGTATGCAACCGATCAAGACTTTCGCACTATCGGATTTAGTCGGCCAGAGATTCGTAGACTACACAAATTTTATGACAAATATTGCTCTCAAGGTTATTTGAGTAAAATAAAACGTCTGCTGCAAACGCCAGTAGTGAATAAACGTGATGAGGTCAGTGATTATTAATTTATTCATGGAAACATCCTTTTCGTTCATAAGCACATATTGATAAAATATTCTATATTGTAGCTCATTAATCATAATGCAACATTAGATGTTATGAAAGTACCCAGTTCCCCGAATAAATTACCAACAAATAAACACATAATTCCTCTCGACTCGATAAGTGTCAATAAGCAACTCGGAAATGGTGAATTCGGTATCGTACAGCAGGGTGTATGGACGAATGGAAATGAGAGAATTCAAGTCGCCATTAAATGCCTTTGTCGTGAACGAATGCAAAGTAATCCTATGGAATTTCTAAAGGAAGCTGCAATTATGCATTCGATCGATCACGAAAATATTGTACGATTGTATGGAGTTGTGCTGTCGACTGATTCATTAATGCTCGTGACAGAACTAGCTCCGCTACGCTCACTGCTCGAATGTCTCAAAGATAATGATCTGAGAGTTAAGTTTTTAACTGTTCCAGTGCTTTGTGATTTTGCGTTACAAATGTAAGTATTATAAATCGCATTAAGCTATTAAGCAATTAATAAATAATGTTTATAAATCACTCGGAACTAATTATAGATGCAATGGAATGATGTATCTAGAAAATAATAGATTTGTGCATCGTGATTTAGCGTGCCGTAATATCTTGGTATTCAATAAGAATAAAGTGAAAATAAGGTTTGTAATATGTGCGTGAAATTTTTCACATCGATAATTTTCTTTTCGTTTTCGTCTTTTTTGCTTTCTCATTTCTTCGTTTCATAGTGATTTCGGATTGAGTCGAGCATTGGGTGTTGGAAAAGATTATTATAAGACAAACTTTAATGTGAACTTAAAGCTACCAATTGCTTGGTGTAGTGCAGAGTGTGTAAACTATTTGAAATTTACTAGTGCATCAGATGTCTGGGCATATGGAGTGTGTCTTTGGGAAATGTTCTCATATGGCTTTCAGCCTTGGCCTGCTTTTACAGGTCAACAAATACTTGAAGCAATCGATAAACCTAATTTTCAACGACTTGAAAAACCCGAAGTATGTCCAAAAGAGTATTATGCATTAATGCTCAAGTGCTGGAGTCACGAACCACACGATAGACCGAAATTTGTAGAAATTTATCGACTTCTGCCTGATATGAAGCCAGAACAATTAAAAACAGTCACACAGTGTATAGATCTTAAGAAGGAACATTTGGCATATCGACAAGGAGACATAATTACAGTTTTAGATAAAGCAACAAATTCACCATATTGGCTAGGCGTGCTTCATAACGGCCGATGTGGTCTATTTAATCCTGCCAATACGGTAGCACATATTGAAAGTCTTCCATCATCATCATCAAATGGCATTCAAAATCAAAACAGTACTGGAAGTTTCATACGAAACACATTAGAAAGAAATAGTAAGAGAAAATTAAAAACAGACATGATATCCAGCCCACAAAATGATTTCAAGCATACAGGGCACGTCGGCATTGATGGAGCTTATTTTGGCAATGTTGCATTTTTGTCAAACACACAAACGTACAATAAATTACCAAGGCAAGTTGTTACACCTTATAAACCTTCCGAGGATTTAGAGCAGCTTCTCCCACCTACTCCCACATCAATTCAAACAAATGGCAGCACATACTTTTCTGAATCCACCAATTTATTACCCGCACACCAAGTGTCTGATAATCATAGACATTTACATCAGAGCAATGGCAACTTAAATAATGATAGCTTATCCTCCGACTTTCAACGTATTACTTCCTCAACGCGACCTGTGTCAGCAGCATTTAACGACTCTAATCCATTTGCACAATCCGACCATCAAATGTGGACCACAGAAATGGGAAAGAATTTTTCAAGCGTAAGTTTCTTAATGAAGATTTTTATCAGCAAACAGTATCTTTTAATTTTAAAACTCTGTATTCTTTATAGCTTCCAACCGAGCAAAAGTTATGGGATACACAAGACTCTCACGAACCACACGATTATCATGAGATATCAGATGATGAAATGCAAAATAAAGTATTTGATTTTGGTCCATCGTTGCTAGACGAAATGGATTTTATGTTTAGATCAATGTCAACATCCGGAGGTGATTCTTCACACGGTCCACCACTGACTCCTAATTTTGACAATGTCAACAAGAGAAATGAACTTACTGAATTAAATTCTAAATTAAGTCGAAAGAATTCAAGTTCAGGTGTAACGGCAGGTAAATGAATCAAGCTCTTAATCAAATATTTGATATCTAAATGTTATTCGCTATTTTGTATTCTGCTCACAGCCGCAACGTATAAAAGCAAGAAGAAGGCATCAACGGTAAAGCTGATTTCAGTTAAGGATGAAAAGATGCTTAATCAAGCGATCGAATTCGCTAATGAAATGAGTGCTAGGTGAGAAATCATTGATATTGTATGCGATATGAATCTTTACCTAATGTTTATAAATTAAATGCACAGGTCCATGACAGATCTTGATCAAAATCAATCAACGCAAAGTCCGAAACGGAAATTTAGTTTCAGATTTCCACACATGTCTCATTCAGCAAACAATGAACGCGATGGATCGTCATTGACAAATCATTTGAATGGAAATGCATTTACGCAACAGCAAAATATGAACTACAAGGATCGGAAAAATTTCAGCGAGGTAGCAAAGAATGCTCCTGATTTGCAAGTGAGTATTAAAAATACCAAACTTTTATCATTTCAACTTCTTTTCTATTATTGGGTCTATGTAGTTGACTAATTTTACAAGAAATGAGATCTGAAAGACAATTTCAATAATTTTTATTAAGATGTAGTTTTAAAATTTTAACTGGGAACTATTGAAAATTAACGAAAAAAATCTTTTCTCTCAATTTTCCGCTCTCCCGTCGCTATTTGACATAAATTCCTATCTGTTTCATGTTGTTACTAACACATAAAGTTTTCTACATCTGATAGCAGCTATTTTGACAATACCATTATTGACTTATAAATTAAGCAATTCATAAACTAACAATTTTTTCATAATAATTGTAAGTTACTAATCAAAAATTCTTTTCTGCTGTTTCTTTTTATCATGTCGTACCTCTTGCAATATCCTTTGTATGATTTATTGTTCATTTTAATTTTGTATTTATAATTTTGTTTTTTTGTGCTGTTATTAAAATTAATTTATAGCGTTTCCGATCATTAAATGAGATTGAAAGTACAAGAGAGCCACGTGATTTTAGAATACCAATTTTTGATAAGAAAAGTTCTGATTTTTGTTTTGAAAAATCTCGTGAAATTTTAAGCAAACCTTTAAACTTTTCTATTGACTCGGTTACGTTAGATCAAAAACTATCTGATAAAAAGACTCGAGATATTATCGGTGAAAATTTATTAGACATTGAGAAGACACTGAATGCATTAAATTTAGATTTTATGCAGGCATTCAATGAGCTAGAAAAAACTGATTCAGCAGAGACATTATTCGGTGAAAATTTTCTTTTGGAGAATAATCTTAAGACTTTGTCAAACAATTTCAATAAGAAGACATTTACAAACGACATTGACAATATATCTTCAAAGATTAATAATAATACTAATAATAATAATTCTAGTAATAACATTAATAGCAATAATCATAAAAAGTCTGCAAGTAGAGATTATTATTCGCCATTAGAGAAACATTCTGATAAATCATTCAGTCCAAAAGACTCACAATCACAAAAGACGACGCCTAGTAGCTATAGTCCACAAGAAAATACTGCTACGTCACGAGGTGCTGGATTTTTCAACTATCCCAAAGCTCGCAATATATTTTTGTCACCAACAAAACGAATGTTTAATAATCAAACAAACTTTACTGCAAATAAGTTTGAAGATACGATACAGTCACAGCCACGACAACGTTCGATGTCATTTACCGATAATTTTGAAATAAAATCTCCAGGTGTGATAACCAAACCCAGTAATCTAACAAAAATGAACTTGAAATCTATGGAAGTACGTAAGACTAGTTCATTGGACGAAGAATATGGTAATCGGAGTTTATTTTTACCGAGTAAGAGTCAATTGATGGCAGAAAAACCTAGAAATGTAATAACATATAAGCCAAAGAGCGTTAGAGCAAGAAACCTTCGACGATTAAGTTATAATCCGATTAATATGATTGACTCGTCATCATCGACAAGTGAAAGTGATTTGGATAAAAGCATGGCGCATTCAGAATGTGATATACGTTCTAAGATGTATTCGTCACGTTTCCAAAAACGACGGCAACGATACTTGAATAAGAAATCTCATAAGACCGCACAAGGAGGATACTATCGTAGTGAGAATTCTCAATATAGTAACAGTAGCAACCAAAACGTAAATGGACGTGAAAAACTTTATGGCTCGAATGCATCAATCAAGAGTGCTCCACATTACAACTACATAACAGATCGTAAAAAATTCTTGAATGAAGATTTAAGTGGGGGGAGAGGATGCGGTGGAGATGATAAGATAACATTGAGTAGCAGTGATATTGATTCTGATGAGGATTTTAATAATTCAGTCAATGACAATCGAAAGAATTTAATAAACAAAGATACAAGAACTCTCACACCCACACCTCAGCCTGTTCAATTCACATCAAACTTCAATAATATTTATGAGTTTGTTGGCAAATGCTTCAATAGGAATTTTGGCTCATCAACTAGTAACAGCTCTAATGGACAGCAACAACAAAAATCAATAACACAGAGTGCTATTCAACAAGCACAACAGTTTCTTCAGAATGACTACCGTAATTATACGAAGAGAGGCAATAAAATCTCAAATTCTAATTTGGATCTCCTGTACACAGATTTTGATGTTACTAAATTGACTGGAAAATCTCCAACAACGCAAAGCTACTTCGATATCATCGATTATCCCGGAATGAGTGGCAAAAAATCCGTTTCAACGATCCTTCGTGAATCTAATGTAACAGGTGCAAACATTAATATTAAAAGCTCAGCATTTCAATGGCCTGATAAAATTCACGGATCAACGGTTAAGCAAAACGACTTGATATGGCAATTACAGCAACAGCACGAGCAGGATATAAAAGAAAAGGAAGAACGACATAAGCAGCAGAGAAATCTACTTATGGAAAATCTAAAAATGAAGAAATCTGCTTACTCAACCACCTCATCAAGTACGGAATCCCTTAATTATCGTCAAAATTATATGCCTCCAAGTCCAGCACCTTAATCTCTTAATGCCAATCAAAATTGTTTTTAGAAAACATAAGATTATACTTCCGTCCCATAACTCTAATCATAAACCATTTGTTTTTTGTTTTCATCATTTTTTTGATACCCGACACGAAAAAATGTTTCTCCCAATGTTGTTATTGATTATTGTTGGTGTTCACGAACTGATGAACTGAATACATTTAACACCGCAAAAAAAAAGAGTTAATCTCTTCGTATGCATGAAGAGTAACTAATCATGACTACATTCTTTTATGAATGGCAATATTGTTATTAATCCTGTAATAATGGACCTTTCATGATCCACAACGCCGGTTAAATTACCTTTGAAGAGAAAAAAAAATGATAATTGATAAACTTGTTAATGTCTAAACAATGACACTCTAATGAAACATATCTCTCATAATACAAAACTTGCATAGCATTTAATAAAATATGTACATTGAGAAGCTCCTTTCGTTTTCTCAATTCTTTTTTGTAAATATGTTGTAACTCTATGAGACAATGACATATTTTCTGACTCTTAACATGAAAGAAAATAATCAAATTACTTTCCCTTTAGCATTTTACTTGAATTTAAATGAAAAGGTTTTAAATGTTAAAAAAAATATTGAATGAGAAAAATGTTGCAAGGTTTTTTGAAGTAGAAATAAAAGTTATTTTAGATATCTATCGATTAAAAAAAACTATTCTAAAAAAATCTCAAGTCTCTGTTGGATCTATCTCAACTAGTTCTATGTAAATAAGATGAAACGTAAACAAACAGAAAACAATAAGAGTCTTAAATTGAAAATTAGGAAGTCAAAAAAGCAAACAAAATTAAGCAAATCAAAAGGAAACTGAGAAAGATGATAAAGAATATTCTAAGTATTAATAATTGTAAAATTAACAGTAGTGTGAGTATCTTAATATCTTGTTATTATTGCGCAATATTATTGTATATTTGAATACCTACCTACTATCATTACAGAATACTCAAATTATACTCAAATACAGAGAATAATACGCGCACACGAATTATTCAATTATCATAATATAAATTTATTATAATTAACCATAAAACACTCTTCTGCTACTTAGTATAAATATTCTTCTTATTACGTTATTTATCTTGTTTACATCTTATGCTGTGGAGTGTTAATTGTTATTTATTTAATTTATTCTTGTTCCTTTCATGTACAACACACAAGTAAATGAATTTCTAGTCTAGACCGTGTGAAAATAAATTATTTTGTTCCTGCATGCATTGTTGTTGTCTAGAAGTCTACTTAGACCGAACTAAATCTATTCTATAACACTGATACATTTGGTGCAGATAACACAATCATAATTTAAGCATCCAGGCTACTTATTGAATCTTGTCTAGGTCAATCAACAGCATTTTACTTTACCCAGACCTTGATAAGATACATATAGTATGGGTAATAAGTTTCTAACCTTGACATCTGATTTAACAACACTGCATGCAAGACATTTATACGATCATAAATGACAATTAGTAACTTAATCGTTCCTTTCCATCATTTTAATTACTCTTGGGGTCATTAGTAGGTCATGATTTAAGTTCCCATAGTAATATACATGCATATATGATCACTTTCTTTCACTAATTTGTTACGAATAGAGTAGTGAAAAGTTGGATATAAAAAGAAAAGAAGAAAGAAACACGTGTTTGTTAAAGCTTAAAACGACTTTATGAGTTTTAAATAGCCATAGAAAAAACTTTTCATTTAAGAATGAAGGTGCAATTAAAAGCTTTCTTTGTTTTATAGATTAGTAATAAATGATTTAATCGTATTATCTACAGGTAGTAGTGAGAACTTAGTCTCTCTCTTAAATTTCTTTTTCGCGCAAATATAATTCAGATTTTTGTCTACTAATCGTTTAATTGTTAAAAAAAACTTAAAACTTAAAAAGATGTTCCATTTATGGAGCGAAAATATTTTGAATAAAAATTGAATTGATGTGACGAATCAATCATGTCATCGTGATGTGATCTTTATGAAAAATAATAAAAATGAAATACTGATAATCATTTGATGAATTTCTCAAATAATTCAAAAAAAAAAGAATTTGAGATGTTTAGTGATGGATATTATGCAATATCAAATTACACGTAGATATTTTAAATCTTTCTCATTTTTATCGTAAAAATTCTATTTTAAATTTAAAAATCTATTCGAATTTATTAATCAATACTAATTTCCAATTTTATTAATATGTTTATGATGTGAAACATAAAAACCAATTAATATTCTTTAAATTTAAAATATATAAAATTAATTAAATTCAGTCATGCTAGTTCATTTAATTAACAATCGTTCTGAAATTAAAAGATGTGACTAAAATATGCAAAAAAAAATCGTGTTTGTTTAATAATTTAAAGTAATTAATTTTAAAAAGAATATACTCAGAAAAAGTATTTAAAATGAAAATGTCAAGCGAGATTTTCTAAAAATCATCAACATATACATAACAGTATTTTATCATCTTTATTAATTTATAATCCAACTCGGGGGTGAAGTTTTAAAGATTTGACTTGGAATTTGTTGATTACGTATCAATTGAGTCTCTCTGGTAACACAATTTTAATGTGTAAAAGACCTTCGCAAAATCGGTAATTGAGTATATCAAAGTAATCCGGCGATTGAGTAACCACTTAATCATGACCAAATTACTCAAAAAGATTGAGGTACCTTTTTTGAGGACACGTGCGAATTAAATTTGAATGAAAGTCATTTTAGAAATGATAATCAAATATTTTTGCGATCTTATCTATAAACTTTCATGTCAAATCAAAATCATCCCTAATATCCATTACCTTCAATGAATTATAATCACCCATAATTATTAAAAATATCTATTATGCGCATCTAATCCTCTCATTAATCTTGAAAATGCTATAGACTTGTAGAATGAGTGAATCTTGAATTATTTCAAAAACTTTTCCTTTCCAAAAAAAAAGACTAATCACCGTAATTTTATTTCCATTTACTGAAGAAAACTAGTGTATCGGGTAGAAACTCAATGCGGATATATTCACACCGTACCATCAAAAGTCTTATGGAGAGTCCAAGATTTGCTCAGCATAAGTGTGAAGGGTGGGCGTACTTTCGCGTAAATCTCGGCCATACTTCACACTTATTTGAACCACATTTTCTCGTAAATATTAAAATATTATTAAAAAGTAATTAATCCTGAATTATGTCGCTATTTTGTCAAGTGTTTTAAGATAAAGAATTTGTTTTTTGGTTTCCACAGTGAAGAAGTATGAACAAAATTCAGATGGGGTAGTCGAAATTTTAGATTTCGATTTTTTTAAGCTATGCATTACAAAAAGTAATATTGGTATGTGATTTATGTCAGAATTGTGTCAATTCAAATAAAACATCCTAAAATTTTTTTGAGCAAAGAACCAAGTAGGAAATACATTTTCAATTTTGGACTAGGGGCGACCCTTGTCAAAATCAATTTTGTCACTTTTTTCTTCGAGGGTTTTTCCAAATGGATTGAAACTTTGCATAAATATTTAAATGCTTAAAACAAATACAAAAAAAACATCTTAAAATTTTTTTGAGCAAAGAACCAAGTAGGAAATACATTTTCAATTTTGGACTTGGGACAGGTCCAGTCAAAATCTAGTTTTTCACTTTTTTCTTCGAGGATAAATCCAAATACAAATTTATAAAATTTGGGTCTGACGACATATAGAATACATTTCTTGCTTTAGACATTTAAAACTGTTTTGTATAAATATTAGTATACTCACACAAAGTTTCACTGTAATTGGATAAACCTTCGAAAAAAAAAAGTGAAAAACTGATTTTGACTAGGGTCGCCCCTAGTCCAAAATTGAAATTGTATTTGCTACTTGGTTCTTTGCTCAAAAAAATTTTTGGATGTTTTATTTGTATTTGTTTTAAGCACTAAAATATTTATGCAAAGTTTCAATCCATTTGGATAAACCCTCGAAGAAAAAAGTGACAAAATTGATTTTGACTAGGGGCGACCTTAGTAGGGTTTGGGGAATCTGTTAACAGAAAACAGAAAAACAGCTGTTTTTCGACAAAAATCTGTTAACAGAAAACAGGTCTCAAAAACAGATCTGTTTTCTGTTTTTCATTTTTACATAAAATTTACAGAAAAAAAAATTTCTTAATTTTTTGAAGAACTTAATATATTTTTCTAGCATTTCAAATTGAAATGTATTTCCTATTTTAATATTTTTTCGATGTTTAATAGGTTTGAAATCATTATCAAATTTATGTTTAATCATTATTAATTTTGCAATCGAAATTTTAAATTTGTTGAACCTTTTGTAGCATTTACTAAAGTTTAAAAATATAATCAACAATTTTACAAGATATTTTTTTATTCAGAAAGATTTTTTGAATATCTCAAATAAAATATTAGAGCTTATGGAACTTTTACAATGCAACAATGCAATGTTACTTAAAGGTATAAATTTTTTTGGATTTTTTTTTTGCATTTTTATATTTCATTATATTTTATTAAAGTTAATTAACATAAAAAAATAAGAAATAATAATGCTTAGCTCTAAAATGTATGCTTAACTGCTTATAACTACCAAAAAGTTTCATTATCTTAGAGAAACACTTAGGATAGCTCAGTTTATTTTGTATTCAAGAAAAACAGGAAAACAGCTGTTTTTAAAAATCAAAAACCGAAAACAGACTGTTTTTTAAAAACAGCTGTGTTCCACAAACTTTAGCCCCTAGTCCAAAATTGAAAATGTATTTCCTTCTTGTTTCTTTGCTCAAAAAAATTTTTTCATTCAAAGTTTAATTTAAAATAAAAAAAAAATCACAGTGAACTTTTAATTTGAAAAATTCGTAAGAAAGGAAAGTTTTTTGCTTTTTCTGAAGCAACGGCTGTTCCTACCTTGCCCAAAAACAATACAGCTCTTCTTTAGAGCAGCACGGATCAAATGTAAAAAACTAGAAGTCTCTACGATGTCTCGTTATTGAGATTTCTTGCTGATTAACTTGCTTGTTTGCTTGCTTACAGAAAGCATATTTTGCAATTTTCTCAGCAATGCCGCAACCAATTTGAAATCTGTTTTTTGCAAAAGATGTGAAATTCAAGACACTTTTCATCTCTGATCATTTTAAGCTATCTTGCTCCATATCCTCACAAAATTCTAAAAACTGATTTTTCAATCTGAACAAAACCAATAGATTCACATGTGAAAACGGTGTGAATATAAAAAAAACTAAGTTCGAGCAATTCACAAAAATAAGACATTACATGTCAATGTTCATCGTAATAAAGCAAACTTCCAGCATACCGACATTAAAGATAATTTTTTTTTTGGCAAAAACATATGTCATATGCAACATCTTGTAATAAATTTTAATTTTAGCAATCAAGAAGAAATGCCGAATTAAGTATTATTCAACACTATGTTCATGTGGGTATTTAAATTGCTATTAAATTTTAAGTGATTTTGAAGTATTATTTAGATAGACTGTCACTTGCTGAGACGCCTAATCCTTTTATTGTAATGCTGATTACTTTTGTTAAATATCATTGATTTTAATCAATAAGAAAAGTAATGCATGGCTTCGCAAAAATAAAAATTGCACTGTTATGTAAAGCCTTAAGTTATTTTATTGTTAAAAAATCCAAAGTCATTGGAATAATGCATTCAACTATATTTATTCATGATGCACTCGCCAATTACACTATAAAATGTATGATATAATGAAATAATTTCCATATATACATAACCTGTTGAATATTTTTATTTCTCATCTCTTTGGATGTTATAAAATGACACAGAAAAAAGTAGGAAATGATATAAATTTAGAGTAGATAGAAACTTAGTAGTTTCACACAAATAATTCAAAGAACGACAAATTTGTTAATGAATGGGAACTACATTTTTACGATACTATATTTCAAAGTCAATTACTGCTCGTGCCTTCAGATGGCATCAAAATCATTTTAACTAGACATTTGAAGGATCAATAGAATTAATGTTTTGGCGCAAAATAATAAAAGCATTATTAATTTTGATTTAACATTAAATTGCTGACCACATTATGTGTACAAATTTACGATCAAATGTCGGCTGGCTGTTAGCTTTTCGATTTATTTTAATAGCTTTTCTTTATCTTCATTCATAAATTCATCTTTGTGTAAAGCTGGACGACGAGTGTTAATGTGTATGTTTACAAACTTTTAGTATTCTACGACTCTATAGCTTTACATTATTGTTGTATTAATAATTAATCAAATAATTTAATCACTGATGCTTTTGGACAATTTTCGAGACATTTTCATTTTAAAAGTTTTCCATCTACAAAGGAGATACTTACACAGAAAATGTAGAGGAAATGTGAAGCTCAGATCTTCCATTGAAACAGAAATGACAAAGAATAAATAAATCTATATTGCATGCAAAATTTACTAAACTGCCTTCAACTTATTAACATTCTAATTTAGTTCTTTCTATTTTTTGTGTTGGAGTTTGTTTTTTATTTATTATTTTTTTCAATTTAATTTCAAAAAAAATTTTCATTAAATAATTTCATTTGTCTGTTTTCCTCATTTCGTTACACAAATATCATCTAACATCACGAAAAAAAATATTCCATGAAACCCTATCCTCCACATCCAATCATTATCTCCGTCCCCTTTTGTGTTGCTTCATTTTTCTCATTCACAGAGTTCAATAACCGCTGAAAATTCACTCGCTTATAAATCGCTGGTTGAGGATCCAAAAGAACTCCTTTTTATGAATTCTATGGAGACGCATGACGAGACATTTGAAGATGATTATAAAGAGAAAGGCTCAACACTACCGAGAGTAGCAAATGGTCCGTTAGAGCACGTGCCACAATCAAATAAGGCGGCTACATTAAGTAAATTATTGCGAATTACGAAAGACTTCGATACATCGACTTCCTCATCGACATCATCAACATCGAGTCCATTAAAAGCTCTACGCGATAAAAGTTTTCCCATTGTGAAGCCCCGATTGAGAATATTACCGTCTATAGGAAGTGAAAGTGTTAATTCAACAACATTCTTGCTTGATCACGACTGCGAAAATCCATGCGAGACACCGAGCTATATGGCAAATGCCGATGGAAATTTTTCATTGAGTGTTGATTCACTGAAGACGACACCAAATGCCGAAGTAAAACCGATTGAACATAA